ATCTGTCTAAATTGTTATTCGATTGAAATTATATTTTTAACGTTTGATAGATGAATATCATCTTGATCGCCCTATCCTCGCTGATTTTGTCAGTAAGACGTCATATAAAAAAAGTAGTTTAATAGCAATAAAAGTTTTTGTATTGCTAAAAAACTTAATTCATGATTTAACAGGGTTTGATCCAACGGAATGATTTAGTTATAACAATATGCATTCCTTTCAAGAACAACAGGTTTTTTTTAGAAATAAGATTGTTTTTTCTTAAGATTGTTATCAAACATTTTTATCAATTTTATTTTTATTCTCTGAGAAAGATCCAACAAGTGCACATTCTTTGCAATACAATGCCTCGTTATTATCATAGTTTTTTAATGGTACAATCATCTTATTTTACCATCTATAATTAAGCCTAGAAATTTATGCATTTTTCTGTTGCAATAACTCTGTCTACATTCTTATACCAATATACATAAATATGTAATATCAACCAAAACTGTCTACTATTTTCTTTTTCTACTATATGATCCCTTAATGCAATGGATTGTACTTTTTAAGAAATCTATCCTTTTGTTACTCTTAGTTACATGTTTTCATTTTTGTCACTTATTCTTAGAAACTACAGCAGGTTAGAGTTGGTTAAATAAGGTTAAGTAACCCTTTGCTAATTATAATTTAATTTATTTACAAAAATCCTTGTACTTTTTATGATTTTTTTAAATTTTAGGTTAAATGTTTTCACTTTTGACGCTTACTTCCAAATCCTTGTTAGAAAAGAGATTTTTATTTTTTTAAAGTAAAGGTTTACTCATTTGCAAATTTTGTTTCAGCAACTAGAAAACAGTATTTTTTAAGAAAAACTTTTTTTTTTTAATTTAAACTTTAGAATCAAATGTGTTCTCTATTGAAACTTGGTTTTTAGAAATTGCAATAACTTATACATTTTACAATTTTTTTTCTAAACCAAGGTTAAATATCGACTTGACCATATTGCTTGTCAACATTAAAGTTTAAATCTGGATTAAACGTTTTCTTTTATTTCTTAGAAATTGCAGTATTTATTCCTCTTAGAAAAGACATTTTCTTTTTTAGAACGAAAGTTTAAACAACAATTTGCTAATTTATTTTCAGCAATAAAGAAAATCGTTGTACTTTTTTCGAAAAATGAATGTTTTTCTTGCTTATTAAAACTCTAGTTTGTCACTTTTCACAGAAAAGGTTTTCTTTTTACAATTCAAGATTATATTGATTTGCGCTTTTTGCAACATTAAAGAAAATTATTGTCTTTTTAGTATGGTTTTTCTTTGTTAAATTCTAGGTTAAATGTTTCTAAGTTAAATTGTCACTTCTTTCTTAGAAAAGAGTTGTTTATTTTTGTCATTATACTTAGTAATTATAAAAAATTTATCAAGTAAAATGTTTATATTAAAAATTAAATATTTCTTTTTAAAGCAGTTACTTCTTTTTAATTTTTGCCAATTTATTTTTAATAAATTTTGAAGGAAATCTATAAATTCCCAGAGTATTAACAAACAATATTCTTATCAATACGGTATCTCTTTTTCCCCCTAATACAGTACGCACTACCACTTATACTTGTCAGAAAAAGGTTTTGCTTTGGAAAATCCAACGTTTCTTCTTGACAAATTGTTTCAGCATTTTACAAAATCGTATTGATACAAAACACAATATATTTATCCTCTTATTCGAAAGTTTTTTGTTTTTTTTTTCTCCCAGGTGCAATACCTTGCATTTAGGATATTTTGCTTTTTTTAATTCAAGTTTAAACGTTATGCTTGATATTGAGTCATTACAACGATTTAAGTAAAATCGTTTAGAGTTAAAAAACGAAATTAAAAATATTTTATATCATGTATGAAGGACATGTTTAACTTTGTGTAAGGTTTCAAAATGTAACGATTTCACTCAATTTAAATGAACAATCCACCGTTAAAAAGAAATATTACCATTAAACTATTTCACTGAGGAAATACATTTAAAAAAAAAGGAAGATTAACCTTAAAGGGGGCGATTAACATCGCAATAATCACAAATCATCCTGAAAAGGTAATAAAAGAATAATAATTACTGTTTTGAACGAAATATCATCTGGACAAAGGTGAAATCTGAGTGGTCCCTTTTCCACCATTTATTGCAGAAAGGCCTATTTCAGTTGCAGTGTTTGCCCATTGTCAGGCACATGAGGCACACCCTTAAAAAAGACCAATTCCTGTCCCTAACCCCCTTCCTAATTTACGACCCTCATTTCCACAACGAGCATATGGTTCGTCTGTTCATCACGTCCATCACATAAAATAATTGAAAGCATAAAAAAACACTAGTTATTAATAAATAATTACCTTATTAATTTTTTATGTAGGACAAATATACGGTCGATTGATTGCCTGCATATGATAATTAATTGCATTTGATTTTCTCTTATTTATCCCCTTATTTGTACCCTTAGAATGGTGATTGGTTTCAGGGTGCAAATAAAACTGTTCTCGACACGTCTATTAATATGAGTAGATTACAATTAATTAAGGTTTTCAATTGAGATAAAAAAAGTCAATGTCACGAGCGGGATTCGAACCCAAGATCTTCGGCTTGATACGCCGCTGCTCTACCACTTGAGCTATTGTGACCTCGATCCACTCGGACACTTTGGACAACTTCCCATCTCAACCACACCTTTTGAATTTTCCCTCCTTTTTGCCATTTTTCAAATGTCCTGTAATCTATTTAATTCTCGGCGACAAATGAAATGGCCAAGGAGAGCTTTAGTGAAGGTATACTTCTTTTTTAAACTTATTAAATTCACTGGTTTCGTGGTCCGCTTGACCAATTAATATCTAACAATTAATTAAGGTTTTCAGTTGAGATAAAAAAAGTCAAAGTCAACGAGCGGGATCGAACCCACGATCTTCGGCTAGATACGCCGCTGCTCTACCACTTGAGCTACCGTGACCTCGATCCACTCAACTATTATCTCAAATGAAAACTTTAATTAATTGTAAGATATTAATTGGTCAAGCGGACCACGAAACTAGTGAATTTAATATGAGTAGAGTTGTTGATTTGCAGGCACCCTGCGTTAAGTCTATTTATGGCGATCTCGTTATGGACACAGACATAGTCTGTTCTGATACATTCGACATGAATTTATCAGCGTGAAATTATAAATAAACAAATCATTTATGTTTCAAAAAACAGGCGTCAATCAATCCAAATCGAGCCTTTGTTTCTTTGGCGTTTCTGGTTCATATTAATTGGGGCCTGTGTTTCAGGATGAATAATTGTCGGAACGTATTTCTTTCCGAGACGGTTTCATCTGTTGTTCTTTTCGTTTCAGTCTATGTTTAGCAGGCAGCTGCACAGCCAACGAAGAATTGACCGGAGCCGAAACTATTCTGGCTCCAGGCTACCTGCTAGAATAGGCGGACGTCGTTTTCAATTTTTCGCCCAATTTACGACAGAAGAAGAATATATAATTAACACTTACATAAGCGAAAATAATCGTATAATTTGAATAAACTAACAGTCGAAATTTTTACTAGTCTTTTTGGCAAGTTTATCAAAAAATTATGTCAGTTATACGAAATTATTTATCTGTATTAATTGTAATATTTTATATATTATTGAAGAATAGAATTCTCTTTGTTGACTCTACAGAGCATAAAATAATAATGCATGTGCAGAATGAGTAAGTGAAAGTGTGTGTAATGTTACAAAATGGCACAGTAAATCAAAACGAAGCTGAGCGTTTGTGTGCCAATTTTTAAGATAATTTTTCTTTGTGATTGAAAACATTTTATTACAGTCTTCGTTTTCTTTCCATCGAACATTTTCTTTTTTAAATGATTCTTCAAATTATTTCTCTTGACAGGAACGAACGCAATCGCTCTTACCTAAAAGAATCAAGACAAACGACTAATTTTTCAATATCGATAATTTAGCAACGTTAATAAACGAGTGTGAAGCAGAAAATCTTAAAGTTTTTTTATTTATAAAACCAAATTTTTACGAGCGAAAAAAGTTCAAACAATGAAAACAATTTCTCCAGAACTATTACGTATTAATTACTCGGATTTATTTAGCAATTTACTACCTATATATACCCTATTACTTGGTGAAATTAAATAAAATATTAAAGACGGATCCAACGTGGTTTTAGTTTTCAAAATTTCCTATGAAAAAAAAATGGAAAAAAATAGTTCTATACTATGATTGTTATCAAAACTTGTAATAAAATGCCTTGGTAAAATTTACAAAAGGTTCGTAAAAATTGGAAAGAATTCCTCCAAATTTATCCCATTGGGATTTATTTATTTTATTTTTATTTATTTTTTTAGAGGGGGGGTTAAAATTTCAAATATGCATGATATTTCATGTCAATGATTGATGTTTGTCTTTAACTTTCCTTAGAAAGGAAATTCTTACATCGAATATTAATCCGTACACTTTCGCACTTTTTTTCATTAGGTTCTGTTTGGAAAAATTTTGATCTTGGTGAATTAATTAACTAAATCTTCTTTTTTTCTTCATTCCTGCGGTTACTCCGCTCCACATTTCGATTTTTTTTAATCTATCCTTTTTTTTGTAAAATTTGAATCCTCTATTAAATATTTTATTTAAATGTTTAAAAAACAGACAACAGGATTTTTTATTTGTCCTTGTATGTTTGTCGTTAAAACACAAAATCAGTGATTGATTCCCCCTGAATGAATTGTATTAAACAGTGGACAGAGATTTTCCTCTGAGTTCAAATTTCAAACATGAAATTCTTATCTAATCTGCAAGGTTTAGGTAAGCACGGTAATACGTGAGAGTAAAAATGATAATCACAAACCTTCCGATGAAGAATATATTCATCTAGACATGTGCTTAGACGACGAATATTCATGAATTAATTAGAGGTAGACGTTAGAAGTTTTTCTTTTTATAAAATATTATTGTATTGCATTGTTAATGAGCATTTAACTTTTATTGTTTGCTTTTATTACCTTTACATTCCGGTCCATTTGTCAGAGTCGCACATAATATCACAGAATCACTGCACAGAAATCAAACCACAAGAAACCACGAGGGGGGGAGGAATTATCGTAACGTAGCGGTCGAGCCTTATCCGGACGCCACGCCGACGGAAGTCGAGACTGGAGTGGATTAGTGGAGGATCCTGGCGCCGGGTGGGGGCAAAGAAGGGAAGTGGAAGCAGTTTAAACTGAAGAAAAAGAGTGGGAGATGGAATTTCAGGGATGGCCCAAAGCCCAAAAAGCGACGAATCCTACGATATTAAGAGGTTTAAAAGCGGAACGCAATCCGTTGGCGCCGTTTGGTACAAATTTCCACATGTCTCTGGAAAAATAATTGAACAGACGGATAAAACCGCACTGTGGCGAATTGGTAATTTGGTCGTCCGCTCCTTCAAACCCAGCACTGATGATGGCGACAAGAAGAAACGCACTGACAGACAAAATAAGCGATTTATTAAAGGTCTACGAGCTATGCTGTAGTTGTACTTTCGTCTTATTTGATCATCCAAAAGCAACAAAAAAACCACCGCTGAAGATGGTGAATTACATCTGACAGAACAAACCAGCAGGGATTCGAAACGGTTGGAGGCCATAGAACAGCATATCTCACTTTTGAGCCTAGTTAAAGTCAATATTTTAGAGAAAGGACCTTTTTATTACCTTCAATGGCGATGATCAATGGCGTAATGTACTCAAATTAAAATAGAAAGGAGAATCCACATTTCTTACTAAAGTCAGAACAGGAGTCCTTGGAACTTGCTGTTGTGCTCAAGAATAACGCATTTAAGAAATTGCTGTGTGATTTTTTTTTAAGCAATTAACTTTTCAGACCACAAATAATTATTTTGATAGCTAGAGTAAATTAAATCTTTAAAGGAAAAGTCATATATTTTTACAGTTCCCTTTATTTTTTATGCTCTATTCTTGCAGGTGGTTCCCATCGTGTTTTTCTTAATTTTATCCTTTTAAATGTTTTTGTATAAGCTTTTTTCGTAAAATAATTGAACAAATTGACAAAACCGCACTGATCTGTTTGTAATTTGGTCGTTTACTGATTCAAAGCCCAACAATGAAGATGGTGACAAGACGAAAGGCGTCTGACTGACGAAATACTGGATGTCTGCGAGGTGATGGACCTCTATTGGGGTCGTATCTGATCATCCAAAATCACCACTGAAGATGGCGAATCGAAACAGGCTCAGCCAGCGGGGATAGTTGATCGATGACAGCCAAAGAGCAAATTCCAATTTTTGGACATAGTTTAATTGTTTTTTTTAGAGAAAGGACCTTTTTATTACATATTAGAAGATGAATGGCGAAATAGAAGGCAAACTATAATAGAATGAAATGGAAGATCCATATTTCTTACAAATCAGAAAAAGAGACTCAGAAACTTTCTGCAGTGCTAAAGCAAAACACATTTTTCAAAAATTATGTAAGCTTCTTAGTGTGGTTTTATGTAATTAACTTTCAGACCAAGATAATAATTTACTTGGCAACTATTCTAGAACATTAGTGATTAATTAACCGTGAGCTAATTATATAATTATATATTAAATTATATTAAAGTATACAATTATAAAAATAAAGAATAGCTCCCGCCAAAAAAATTAATAAATAAATGTGTGGTGAGTAGTGACCGTTAATCGATAATTATTCAGAAATCGTGAGATGCGGTCTGGTGTGATGTAGGTTTCAGAAAAACATTTCTTTATCGTGCCAACATTTCGATCTTTATTGAGATCATCTTCAGGGCCTTTTTCCACATCCTACATGTATTTGTTAAATGTAAACAATGTTTGTAAATCCCAAGCCCAATAAAGATCGAAACGTTGGCACGATAAAGAAAATGTTTTTCTGAAACCTACATCACACCAGACCGCATCTCACGATTTCTGAATAATTAATAAATAAAGATAAAAAATAAAATAAAATGATTCGATGGGCCTATACACATGCTGAGACTGTTGCTGTCCATTATTATTATCATTATTGGCCACACATGCCTATGAGAAATGTTTAAATTATGGAACGAAATTTTGAAATTGTAATTAAAGAACTGGAATAAATTTTTTAATTTAAAATGGGATTTTTGTATATATTTGGCCTTCCAAATTGAGTATTTTAAAAGGATAAATTAAACCTTTGGATGGCAATAGGATATATTAATTTATGAGTGAATGTTTGGAGTGAGAATTTTATAGCATGCAGAAGGACTATAGCTAACCTAAGAAAGAATTTAATAATAAATTAAAAATTAATAAACTAAAAATGAAATAAAGAAAACTACCACGGTATACCTTGTTTCTTTCGACTTTAATATTCTATTTCACCGTGAGGTCAACTATGGTCAACTATGATTATTACAATAATAGTTATTAACATATTTAAAAAATTATTATGTCAGATGAGAGAAAATAAATGATTAAATGATCCGTGAACATTTTCGCCAGCCAAGGAACAGTCAACACCAGGAAAACAATTATTCAAGGAAAAAAACAACGCCAAGAAAACAAGGATTGGTGGCAAAAGTCTGATGAAATAATTACCGATGATGAATTAAATTAAACTTTTGTTTGGAAGTTCTATTTTTGGGTTTCTATTTTCCTCCTTCATAAAATTCCAGAAATTTAATTGTCTCTATTGTATCATTTAAATAACTCATTGGGGGCGTCGGTTGCCGCAACGGTTTAGGCGATGACACGGCGCTCATCACTGTAAGGTAAAGGTCCCGGGTTCGAATCCAGCAGCCCTGCATTCCAACCCGACATACTTACAAATGGGCTTTTTCTCAAAAACACCGGCTCCCTGAGGGTTTATAGGACTTATATGAACTACTGTTAATAAAATTAATAAAATAAAAATAACTAATGTTTTTAAAAGAAAATAAAACGAACGAAAATGTTTAAAAAAAATAACATTATGTAGTCCCCGCAATAGACAAGAAACAACACACGTTTCATCGGTAAAACTGTAAACTTTTAACACATTTAGAAAACGAATGGAAAGAGAACTAAAGAAACAAAATCAAATGATCCGTTAAAACTTTTGCAAACGCAACGCAACTAATAATAATAAAAACAAATAATAAAAAATTAGTCGAATTGGACTAGCAAACTCCGATTTAACTTCTTTTTTTCCAATTTTATATAGCTTTCTGTAATTAATGATTAATCAAATGGCACAAGTTTGGGCTCAATCATACACGAGATCAAAATCCGAAGCTCCTCATTCTAAATGAGATAATGAACAATGATAACAGTTCGTATGATAAAAGGATATTTTGAAATGGTTGTAACTTCCTGAAAAAACACCTAAAAAGATTTTCCGAAGAAGAAAGTTTCTGACATTGATAGTCCAAAATATTGGTTTAAAACAAAAATTACAGTTAAAATTTTCTCCACGGGGTGTACGCAAAAAATTTTTCCATCCTTGGGAAAATATGAGTCTCAGAAAGGATATCATAGACGGCTCGAATGCTGATGCAATCTTGCAAAATGGAATGGTGGTGATTTTTTTCGTTTTTATGCAAATCGTACAAGCAGATTAAAAAGTAACCGTAAGTCTAATTATTTATATAATTTGGCAATAAATAAATACTTATTTAGTGGAAAAATAAATGTGAAAAGAAAAGTAAAGAGTAGAACGTTCCAGAGAACCCCAGAAGAGCCTAGCCAATCACCCCACCACTACGCTGCAATATTATATAAAACCCGACTCGAACTGGCTTTCAGTTCAGTTCAGTGTTTGCCAGTGAGACGAAAATAGCTCTACGTAAGAAGAACCACCATACATAAACATTTTAAGTAAGTATTATTTATCAATAAAATTTGTTTTTATAATAAGAAAATTTTCACTCCTAAAAGAAAGAAAAAAAAAACAATTTTCTTCAAATTGTGTACTATGATGAAATCTTACATTTGAAAAATTAATTATTATATTTGCTTTAATATTTTGTTCTTTATATTACATATATTTTTTCTAGCCTGACTAAAACTGTTTTCACATATAATACAGTCAGAACTTCTGTCAAATATAAAAATTTCAAAATTAAATCAGAAATGGTACATATTAGCAAATTTGCCATTGTGCTTATTTCACAGAAAAATTTATTCACATATTTAACATGATGCAGAAATGCTGAGATTATTTGCTCACAGCGAAATCTCACAATAAAACATTATGTCTAATAAATTATATATAATTAAAAAATGACATAAATGATCGAAAATTAAAATTTGGAATAGTTCAGGATTTAAACAGGCAAATTTATTTATTTGCGAGATTTGATCTTTACCAATTATCTCAATTTGCTTATCCTTGCTGGTTTGATCTGTCAGATATTTTTTTTGCCATCTTCAGAGTGTGTTTCTCCTTGGAGATTGTTTGAAGCCGAAAGGTGACATTGAAACCCACCATTTTAAGTGACCTGTTCCTAGTTCAAAATGTAAGACAGTAAAAAAACTTATAACCAGTAAGACACACTGAAGGTGGCAAAATGCTGAACAAAATTCATCTGACAGACCAGCCCAGTGAGAGACGCAGACTTAATTTCATAGGTAAGGATCAAAATACAAATTTATTTATAGATTTATCAACACAGTCTGCTTTGTTCTTGCACATGATGCCCATCAAATATAATTCAAAGGTGTTTCTATATGTTATTGTCTAAATTTTATCCTTTTATGTATATGTGTTTGTTTAAGCTTATATAAATGAATAAACTAACCACTGAAAATGCAAAAATTAGTAGACAAGGTTGTTCAGGGACAATCAAGCTTCATAGAAATGGTGAATGATGGAGTGAGTGCGGTGTTCAATCCTTTTTTAAAAAAGAACGTTCCTACTCACAGTAAGTTGTTTTCAAACGATCCGGATTTCGAGCCCTTAGCTCATCGTCAGCTTCTCATTGGAGCGTTGGTGGGGGCATCGACGGGTTCACTTTTGCAATTCATGTGGTTGTAGAAATCCTTCAACCTGATGATGAGCTAAGGGCTCGAAATCCGGACTTTGGAAAACAATTTATTGTGAGTAGGAACTATCTTAAAAAAAATAAATAAATAAATAAAATAAAAAATTATGATCATCACATCGCAGAACTTATACTTACATACAAGGTGAGTCTGTTTTATCGCTATAGGAAAAACGGCATTGGTTTTTGTTTCCCTCCTCCTGGTAAAAGCTCTATGTTTCTTCTGATGTGTACAATTATTGTTACTGTTGTTTTAAACGCATTTATTTAAAAAATAAAAATGTTAAAAAAGAGGGTACATGACCCAGTTTTAAGCAGAAAGTCTGGATATCCTACCTGATTGGTCTCAGGATCGCCGTCCAATGTTTTTCAGTACCAAGTAATGTTAGATGTACACTAGCACAAAGCCAAACAAATAAATAAATTTCAAATATGTTATTCAGTTTAAAATTTGAATATTGTCTTCCCATGAAGTTTACTCTTTTGTAAAAAGATTTATGTAATGCAATTAAAAGAAAGATCGCTCAAATTTAGGCCAAATTATTTATGCCTAAAAACATAATGGAACTTTTTCAAAAAATAAAGTAAAATAAATTTTAAAAAAATCAATGCATATTCTATGGTGCATCGAAACTGACCCACTTCTGTTTTTACATATGGAAAGCTCAAGAGAGACAAATTTGAATGCAACTAATACAATTAAAAGAAAGATCGCTCAAATTTAGGCCAAATTACATGCCTAAAAACATAATGGAACTTTTTCAAAAAATAAAGTAAAATAAATTTTAAAAAACCAATGCATATTCTATGGTGCATCGAAACTGACCCACTTCTGTTTTTACATATGGAAAGCTCAAGAGAGACAAATTTGAATGCAACTAATGCTTTTTTCCTATAGTGCATCTAAAACAATTCACCCTGAATATTTTATTTCAACTTGACAAAAAACTGTTTTCACATATAAGGCAGAATATATGTCAAATCTAAATCTTTCAAAATAATAATACAAATAGTACACATTATTAAGTTTGTCATCGTTCAGTTTTTATAAAAAAAAAATCACTTATATAATAAACGTATTGCAGAAATGTTGAGGGTATTTCAAGAAGCGATGGCGCCGTCAAGGGTCCTGATACCTTTGAGAACGTATGCGAGGACTATGAGCAGAACAACTGCTCCTAAACCTAAGGAAGAAGACAAGGAATTCAAATTGGAACTGGATGTGAGCAGATTCAGGCCTGAAGAGCTCAAAGTCACTGTTGACAATGACCTAATTATCATAGATGGATCGCACGAAGAAAGGTCAACCCATGGTTACGTTTCAAGACAATTCACTAGGATGTTTAAAGTTCCAAACGGTGTTGATGTCCGTTCCCTTGTGTCAAACCTCACATCCGATGGTGTACTTTCACTCAAAGCACCAATAAAAGTAAGTGCCTCTTAATTATTCCAGCTTCTTTTCTATGTTTAAATTAATAATGACATATTTTAATTAAATTTTTCTTTTAGGTTGTAGAGCCAACTACTTGGGAAATTCCTATAACACATGTGAAGAATGGAGAAGTCAATTCGTCTAATAGTAAACCAGAAGAGCCAAAAAAGTCATGAAGATGTTCACTTTTTTAAATTTGATTAATGTAAATGTAATGTAATTATCTGATCAATTTAGAAAGACTGAAGTTATACAGTATTGTACCAGCTATTAGGGCAACTACATTTTCTAGTAAAAATAATAATATGGAAAAAATAAGAATAAATCACTAAATTAAATTTTTGGTGTTTTATCTTTCAATTCTGCCCTTTCAAATAATAAAAAAACAAAAAAACAAATTGTATGTTTTATATGTTCTTATGGTTTCATGTACGTACTTAAATGAAACTTACTTGCTAATATTTTTATAAATGCAGTTCAGGATAATAAAAAAAAGACATATTGCTAATTTTTTATAAATACAGTTTAGGATGATACAAAAGACATACTACCTTCACTGAGTTGGTCTGTGTCCAAATCTCATAAATCAAACCATCCCTAACACAAAACATCCATTATAAACAAAAATTATTATATTTTAATTTATTTAAATATACATAAGTTCACTAATAGAAATTATTTCATATAATTCAGTCATAATTTTTTTTTTTTTACCAACCCGGGCCACCCACGTAAATAAATCAGTATTTACATTGGTAATAAATAATCAATTGGTAAATAAATAAATAATAAATTACTAATATAAATATATAATTCTACTACATAAGTATCAATGTCAATTATTAATAAATTAATAATTTGACAGATTTTGTGTTAATTAATTGATTAATTAATTGGTAATTAAGCCTTTATTTATTTTTATTTAAAAATTCAAACAATGTTTTAAATACCATTTCATTTTCAGAACCTATAAGGCTATTAAAATTGAAGGGCTTCTCCGCCTCTTTGTATCTAAAGATTCGTTCGAACATGGCATTTCTTGCTTCTTCAAACTCCGGACAATCAAACAAAATATGTTGCATTGTCTCGGGTTCATCGCATGTTTCACAATTTGGAGAGGATCTTATACAAATTTTGTTCAGATAAGCCCCACATATGCAGTGATTCGACCTAATTCTGACAATTGAAGAAAAAAAAACGCCTTGCTTCCCATCATTGCGAAAATCCATGAAATGGGACGGGGTTCAGGAATGAAAGCCTTTAAAAAAAACCTGCCTTATCCCTACCGTACCACTTTTTCCATTCCTGTGACAGTTTTTTAGTTAGTACCCTCTTTATATCAGATTTAGTAGTTTTGACATACTGGACTTCTGGACCCGAGCTTCCTTTGCCAACTTATCGACAAATTCGTTATTCACCACTCCACAGTGACCGCGACACCAACCAAATATTACTTTCTTGTTTTTTAAATTTAGGTCATATGTTTTGCCAACTATTTCGGTCACCAGGTAGTCACATTTAGTGTTAGGGGGAAAATTATGGATTTGAGGAACTGAGCTTTTGCTATCTGTCAATATGCAAAACTCAGTTCCTTCTATTGTGGCAATATAATCCAAGGCTTTTAAAAGAGCATACATTTCTTCGGAAAAATAGACATCATTGAGGGAAGTGTTATTTTACTACAGAATTGCTTAGCAGGGTCGTAAATGGCACATCCGACTTTACCACTTATTATCGAGCCATCTGTAAAATAAATGATAAAATTAACAATAATTTCTACACTTAATTATTCTTTTTATTTAAGATCTTTGTTGAGATGAAAAGGTAGTGTCAAGAGCTGGATTCGAACCCACGACATTGTCAATTATGACTGCTAAATGTATATGGATAAATATTAACAATAATTTACAATTAAGATTTTTAGTTGAGATGAAAAAAAAAGTTAATGGCACGAGCGGGATTCGAACCCACGATCTTCGGCTAGATACGCCGCTGCTCTACCACTTGAGCTATCCACTTGAGTGGGGTTGAGATAGGAAGTTGGTGTCCGAGTGGATCGAGCCGAAGATCGTGGGTTCGAATCCCACTCGTGCCATTAACTTTTTTTTCATCTCAACTAAAAACCTTAATTAATTGTAATGTATTAATTGGTCAAGCAGACCATGAAATTAGTGAATTTAATTAACAATAATATTGGTTGTTTGACCAAACCGCCGAGGATAGGGGAACCAATAAGATTGTTCGGTAAAGACCAAATAACAGGTTAATCACACTACAGATCACACAGAGAAATCTCACAAAAATGTAATACTGTAAAGAAATAAGGTTGTTATTTTGAGTAATGGGATTTGTGATCAAATAGATTATTATATTAATTATAGATTATTATATATATTAATATGGCAAGCTTTTACAAAGGACATTTTCCTCTTGTTAAAACAGTTTGAACCTCAACGTGAGTATGTTTTGCCTTAAAGGAGAAAACTGGTCTTTTTTGGAGGATATAATAATCAATAAAAAAATTAATAATAACATAAATTGTCAAAATTTAAAGGAATAGTTTAGGATGTAAGAAAAAAATTATTAGCTTGATCCTCGTCTTCTCTATTCTTTCAGGTGTGACCGTCAAATGTATTTTGCCATAAAAAGGCTGTATATTTTTGTCCAAATTGTGTACTTTTAACAGTTAGTTTTTACAGATGCACCATAAAAAATGGATAATTGCCGATATGTACAAAAACAAGAACAATAAATCATGATAGGGTACAATTAAGTGAATTGATACAATGCAAAATATATTTTTGCCAAAGTCTTTCTACTCACTCAAAGTGTTTATTATTGATTAAATATAAAAAATATATTTTGCATTGTATAAATTCACTTTTTTTTCTCACATCCTATAAGTATTTGTTAAATTCAAACAATGTTTGTAAATCCCAAGCCCTGAAGATGATCTCAATAAAGATTGAAACGTTGGCACGATAAAGAAATGTTTTTCTGAAACCTACATCACATCAGACCGCATACCACGATTTCTGAGTAATCATCAATTAACGGTCACTAATCACCACACATTAATCAATTAATTATCTTTTATTTCACTATCTACCTTTTGATAACCAATTGTATAGCATATAGAACCAAAAATTATCACACCAGATATTTAATTGTGTTAAATCTATTATAAAGTTAGAACTGAGTTTTAATCTCTCATCAATTGCAGCATTGAGATTTGTTCAGATCTAACAAACAAATTTAAATTTTCTGATAGATTTTCATCAAACGAAGTTTTAAAAATCTTTTTTAACAGTTTTTTGCTAAAAAATTAGCACAGGCATTACATTTTTTCTTTTGATAATTTAATAAGATACATTATTATTTTAGAGGGCTGACTTAATAATTTATTTTAAATATCATTTATATAATATATATTTTAAGAATATGTTTGCATTATAAAGCTTAGATCTTTCTGTCTGAGTCGTTCTTCACCATATTCATAATGAGTGATCAGCCCCATTATAAAAATGTTAAGTAGTTGAGAATACAAGTGTTAACTTATTTTTGCATGGTAAGTTGTTCATTTTAAGTTATTCTATTTGGGTTATTTATACAAAAAAAGTAAGGGGACAAGAGAAGAAGAACAATTATATAAAATAGTGTTTTTCTCTCTTGTGTCAGACGATATGCGCCATTGTTTATATTATATGCGTGTGCATCGTAATGTGCAGGGAGAGGGTGAAATGGGTGGCGACTGGGGACCAGCAAGGAGCTGTGATGATGCGATGATGGGCGTGGCGGGGCTCGGGGGGTTATCGACAAAAGGGGGCTCCGCCGGTGGGGGGCGGCGGCGACCAGGTGGCGCGCTCTCGAGTGGCCACAGTCAAAATGGCTTCCGATTGATCCGTCGCGTCCTCATCGCCACGGCTTTTTCTTCTTGCGTCTGGCCATGTAATTATTGCGATTCGACCCATCCGCCGCGTCAAATTGTTCGATCCGACGTTCATCTCCCATGGTGTAAAGCGTGGACCGTTTTTTGAAGCAACCTTTTGCTTCGAATGACGCACCGCCTGAGTAAATAGTAAGTACGCATCTTTTTTTTTTCCTTCTCTCTACTCTTCTTATTAACCTTCCAATGGCTTCCCTTTTGTTTTAGACAATATCTATTATTTGTTTGGACCCGTTTTTAACATTCACCTACCCTTTTTAACGTCTTGAAAACGTTCAAATCGACCGAGTGATAAGGGCTTGTTATTCCCCCCCGACTCCGTCGAATCGTAATCATCTGTTGTAGAAAATAATCCCGGGAGGATTTGTTTGGGCCTCCGCATCATCAGTCTACGCGCAAACACTTTTATCACTCTTTTCTAAACAAAACAGGCCCGTTTCTTTTAGAAAACTTAAAACCACGGAATAGTTTGTTTTCTCCTCATGAAAAGGACGCCGGAGGAAAACCGATAATACATCGGGAATACGGCTTAATAAATTAGTAGTCGAATCAAAATCCAAGGTCATTGACGGCTCTCCTTCGTTATAAGCCCGAATAGTCTATCTTTGACTTTTGATCTCGTCCCGATCCTAATAACGAAAAAAGATCGTAATTATTTATTTCGATACGGGTACAGTGCATGTATCGGACTCGGTATCGGTGAATCAACACCGAAAAAAAACCATGCACCCAGCTACGTCTAATAAAACGAAAATAGTTTCTGTTGTTTTTAGGTTTATTACAGCGGCCACCCGTAATACGGTCGTTAGTCTTATGTAATACGTGAAGATTATGTAGCACGCTAAATGATCAGTTCGGCCAAACAGCATACAGAAAAAAATGTTTATTTTTTTTCCTCCCCCAACAGATTAATATTCACCGGTAAATTTTTTACATTATAAAGTAAAAAACACTATTATTGTTTAATATATACAAAATAACTATCTATAACACGCAATTTATTATATTTCATTTTGAAAAAGTTGAAAACTACATTTGCTTAAATTTGTTTTTTTAATTTACTTACTTTTTTTTTTTGCTATAATATTTATTTTATTACTAGTTTATATCTTGCTGATTTTTTAATGCGAATAAATATTAACATGTGTATAGTTTATTAGACAAATTCTCAATAAGCAAATGCAATTAGATTATAAATATCCGAATGAAAAATTATAAATTTGGCATCTCCAGAGTAAGGATTTTTTTAATATTTTAATTTTTAATTATAAGATTTTTTAAATTTGATTATAGAGGTAAACGTTTGGAGAAATGTCACTAAAGAAAATTATAAAAAATACAATAGAACTTGATGTATAGTAGCTTAGCAATTGATGTATATAAAAAGGCCCTTTACAAAAAAGTTATTTTTGTATCATATACATGAAATTTATATATGCATATGTGTATCTCTCAAATAATCAATTTACATATGTGTATCCAAACGTTAAGCAGGAAAAAACTGCGAATCCTAACAGGATTCTTAACAGGACACAGCAAACTAAATGGGTATCTGAAGAAAATAGGTATAACCAACGCAGCACATGCAGATTCTGCAAAAAAGCAATAGGTACACCAATACACCTGCTAACTGTGGTGCTACATTTGTCCGCAGGAGGAATTGTTTTGGGACATACAACTTAACAATAGAATAGATCCTACCACCAAAACCGGGCCTACTAATCAAGTTCCTTGATGAACTAGGACTTTCAGGTGTGCTTTAAGCACAGAATGGGGATAAAATAGCTCTTAAAGGGCGCACTAAAATATACACCCTGACTAAAACATCTATCTGTTTATCTATCCATTGGTAAAAAATATTTTTTTTAAATTGTCTTAAGATTTTTGATTATTTAATAACATTAAAACTATAAAATATAGTATTTAAAGCGGGTCCCTTAAATATACATCACGTTTGTACAGGAAGCAATCCCTTTAGTTTCCTGCAAGTCACCTGGACCCTTTTTGTTTTTCTTAAATGGTTTATTTTCTTATTTCTTTATTCTACAAATTAATTTTACTAACGTTTTGCCAATTACAGGTTGTTGTTTTTTAGGATCTAAATACTAATTTTTATTTTATATGAACACACAAAACTAGAAAACCATTAATTATAGTTGAATTTTGGATCTTATATTAATTTTGATGTAGTAAACTGTAATAATCATAAAATGAACAATTGCTAAATTATATGTCTTAATTTTTTGACAGTAAATTTTGATATTATTATTATTTTTTTAATTTTTATACCGGTTTTGTATTACACGTTTCTTACATTCTTCAATCTTTCACAAATAATTTTGCCCTGAAAATTGTGTTTTAGCAAAATTTATACAAATCAAATTAAAAAAAAAAAAAAAACAGTTGGACCAACATTAAGATAATTTTCAAATTGGTTATTTAAATATTGGAAGGAGTGGTCTGGTGCGATGTAGGTTTAGGGAAAAACATTTTCTTTATCACGCCAATGTTTCGATCTTTTTATTGAGATCATTTTCAGGGCCTGGGTTTAACATTGTTTAAATTATACAAATACATATCAGGGATGAATATGAATTTATACAGTGATGTACACAATATAGAAATTTTAGGTTTTATCAAAGTATTTGTACTCACTCGATGTGTGTTTTCTGTGTAGATGTGTCATTGTTGTGTGTTATGTAAATCAGTGTATAAATTCATATTCATCTCTTATATGTATTTTTATAATATAAACAATGTTTATAAATCCCAGCCCCTGAATAAAGATTGAAACATTGGCATGATAAAGAAAATGTTATTCTAAACCTCCATCACACCATACCACAAATGACAACCTCTAAGTAATTATTAATGATCACTAAATATTACACATAATTTTCATATTTCAAGTTTTAAAATGAATATAATAATTTTAATATGCATACTACATCCAATAGAATCTTAAGAAATTCTTTTCCTTCATCTGTGTATTGAAAATAAACATTTACTAATGCCTAACCCATAAATTCATTGTTTCTTGTTTCAGATTTTTTTTGAAACTACAATTACAACATCGCAGTTTCTATGCGATCATTTATAACTGAGTCGCCATTCCACTGTGACGTCTGCGGAAAATATTTTTCGAGAAAAGACCATTACAAGAATCATGTCATGTGGCATACTGGAGAAACCCCACATCGGTGTGACTATTGTGCAAAGACGTTCACTAGGAAGGAGCATCTCATGAATCATATAAGACATCATACTGGGGAGACACCTCACCAGTGCAATTATTGTGCAAAAACATTTACGAGGAAAGACCATATGGTTTATCACGAGAGGCAGCACACCGGAGAGACGCCGTATCCGTGTCAATACTGCCCAAAGGCCTTCACGAGGAAGGATCATCTTGTGAATCACGTTCGCCGTCATACAGGCGAGTCCCCTCATAAATGTACTTATTGTCACAAAAGCTTTACCCGGAAAGAACATTTGACCAATCACATTAGACAGCATACAGGTGAAAGCCCTCATCGATGTCATTACTGTACTAAGAGCTTCACTCGTAAAGAACATCTAACAAACCATATTCGTATTCACACAGGTGAGTCTCCACATAGCTGTGAGTACTGTAACAGGACTTTCACAAGGAAAGAACACCTCAAGAGACACGTTAGACAACATGTTCAAGGCTCTGAGTACAACTGTATTATTTGCGCTACCCCATTTTCAACGAAAGAACATCTTGTTGAGCACATGCAGTCTCATCCTAGAGACCGACCGTACGTATGTACAGAATGCGGGAAATCGTTTCCTTTAAAGGGTAACCTTATGTTTCACGCGAGGTCACATCAGAAAAATGGTCCTGTTGAAAGGCCTTTCAGATGTGATCTTTGCCCGAAAGATTTCATGTGCAAAGGTCACCTTGTCTCTCACAGACGAAGTCACACCACCGGGAAAAGTAATTATGCTCAATTTTCTTTCGTTGAAAAGAGCAATGCATTTATGTTAAAGCAACTGATTAAAGGAGAAACAAGCGAAATGACTGCACACATCGTTCACAGTCCTCCGACACCTCAACCACTTCATACAGTATCCGTCGCTACACAGGTCGGTCTCCCAGTCCTTGCTTCGGCTCCCAACCTTCATATGCAAGCTCCACATTCTCTTCTCACCGCTGTCACATAAAATCCATTTTAATCATCATTGTTGTACATAGACAGAAAAAAAAAAGAAGAAAAAAAATACATTTTCACCTTATTTCTTTTCTTAATATGTTACTGATGTTATACAATTTTTAATTCTGTATTTTGTGTGTAGAATGGCATGTAGAAAATGTACACATAGACAAAATGTTGCATATACGACAAAATACATGGTGATATCTTTTTTGTGATTTACTGTTCAAAAAGATATAAACGAGAAGAACTAATGTACTTATGTTTTTTGTCTCTGATAGTGATTCAATGAATAAATTAAACATTTACAAAAAAATTATTTTTAAATATCATATGCTTTTATTATTTTTTTAACATTATTTTGTAATCTTCTTCACATATTTTTAACGTTTTTTGTCGTAGTGTTAATTTTTCAACAAAATATTCGCTTTGTTAAGAATTAAAAAAAAGTGAAAGAAGTTTGTAACTGATTGTGAAATAGAGAAGCTAAAGGGCAGAATTTTTATAGTTACCGCCTGGGAAATTTTGTCACAAGAAAAAAAAAAGATAAAAAAGAAGCTTTTGTGAGTACATATAATTTAATGACATTATTTTAATATGAACAATTTTTATTGAAAATGTAGGTTAAATGTCGTAATTTGATAATGGGAACACAAGAGGTATATTGTCATAGATGTATAGTAGAATATTTATATATACAAAAGTATAAATGAAAAATTATATTGCAGTACATACATAAAAAGTTTAAGTAGATATATAATTGTTTTTGTTTTTTTATTTCGAGATGAGAATTATTGTAAAGTGCTCCGTTTCTTTTAACTCTATATATAATACATATATTGTATATATTATATTTTGTGTTATATTTTAATAATAGCAATACTTTTTTTCCAATTTTAATGGCAGAAATATTATTAAATTGAAAAATTTTATATTAATTTTGTGATTTGTATTTGAACTTAAGTGTTCTTTCTTTTTTCTCTTTTTTTTCTTTATTTTATACATAATAGGAATTAGTACAAACTAGAATATATTAATATTTGTATGCTTTTACGCAAACATTAAAAGATTGGCTGATTTCTAGGTGTACAATTTATTGATAGTATATAAAGAAAAAAAAATTGAGACATACTTTCCTGTTATGTTAGTGGCACAATATTCATAGTGTACAATATAGCTAAAATACTTTGAAAAAATATATATGTTTCTTTTAACATTTACTTGTTTTTGTTATCCTTTTTCCTTTAATTTTAAACATAAAAATTATGAGTATTTTCAAAATGTGTGCTTAGAATTTCATGAGTGAGGACAAAATAGACAAATCTGAAGATTTTATTTGCAATTTTCAATGCAATGAAATAAATCAACTGTTAATTTTTATGTATCTCTTGATATGAATATAATTTTTATTAATCTTAATGATTCAGGACAAAATAATGTAGCTAGTCTATTAAACCTTTTTATTTTACAAACTTGACATTTTGAAAATTTAATTCAAACTATAATACAGAGCTGGAATCTGGTATACCAACAGAAAAGGATAAAAAATAAAATTGTCAATTTTAAAAGTTTTTATTTGGTAATTTTGAATAGTACATAAAAATATTTTATTTTGGCTCAACAAAAGTGAAGCAGCCTGATAGCTCTCACATTATACTAAATCTTACAATCATATATTTCAATACTGTTAGATTTCACGGATTAAATTAATTTCTTTTTTTTATGCTTTGCAAATGGTGAGTTAAGCTCTATCAAAAGTACCATATTTGATTTGGCTGTAAACCTCATAATGTTTTTGTACAGTGTCTGCACTTTGGAATAATTTGGTAAGAATACGTCAAAGCATTTGAGATATCCTTTGAGTTTTTCCTGATAAACACAGTTTTCCTCTTGATAGTAGACAGTGAAAATTTTATTTTTCAGTTCAGTGAGCATTATTTTCATGGCTATATTCCCTTTATTGGCACAAAGTTGCAGGTCGTCGTTTGTCAGGTGTATTGTTATGCTCCCATGGATTAGATTTGCTATCACCTGAAAATAACGATCCTGTAATAAATCTTGCGGCCGTTCAATCCAAACATTGAGATTTGTATTTGTTATCCGTGGAGTTCTGAATATTCTGTAATCGTCTTCTCGTTCTTTCGGTATGTCTCTTGGCCTCATAAGGACCCTGGAAACATCAGGAATAATAATATGGCCTTCATTTTCTTGAAGAATGTATGCCCAGCCATTGTAACTTTTTCCATTGCAGCATTTTTCCATATTTCCTTTCATACTCTTTACAAATACATCCATTTTTATTAAAAATCCTAAACCTGGGAAATCTTCTACTCTGTAAGCCAAATAAGGATTTCCTGAAGTGCTGTTATAGCCATAAGGATTCCATCCTGATATGCCAAGCAATGTTTCATCTCTTTCTAAAACAGGAACTAATTGTGCTAAATAAAATAAATAATCAGGGGATAGCAATAAGCCTTCTTCGATCACAATAACAAATTTCTTTGTAGGAAAATTTTCATGAATGAAATTAAGACCAAAATGGATCTTGTAGTTTGGCACGGTGGAAGTCGAATTTATTATGAGTGGTTGAAAATTGAATACTTTGGTTAATTTGTATATCTCTTCTTCTCCTTCTTCTTGAAGCACAAAAACTGATGCTGAATGGATACCTGGTTGATACACAACGGATTGTAAGGTAAGAACAAGCGTCGTAATGGATTTACCAGCAATAACTATAAATGGAGTTGAAAACACAGTATTTCCTATAAGACTTCTATTTGTCATTAAAGATGGCAAAATTGGTTCGTGTCGTTCCAATGGGCCACAGAAATCAACACATCTCAGCTCATTTGAAAGAGTGCAGAGCTGTTCTCTCAGAGGATTTATCGTCGGAAAAGGATCAGGCGAAATCATCAAAGGTTCAATTTTTTTTGGAACGCACAATCTTTCATCGATGACTTCACCCCATTTGTTATTTCTAGCATAACTTATCCTTTCAAGAGGGGTGAAACCTGAAATTCCTTTTTGTGTTATCATGTACCATTGACTTCTATATTGCAGATCCTGTATTTTTCCGCTACCCAATTCGTACAGCATATGTTTAGCCTTCTTACTCAATTCTTTAGAAGCTTCGTCAAAAGTGAAAACGATGACAATGTCATTGACTCTTAAATACGACGCCAGCCATAGTTCTAAAGAAGTACTGTTTTGACTGTAAAGGTCAAAATTTTGCAGAGTCACAATTTGTAGGTATTTAGCATCTACGACTGCAATATTAAGACCTCTTCCACCTCCACCGTAATACTTCCCAAACACACACAACCTAGGTTGGTCGTCCTTGTCCTCTCCTGTGTATACATGAACAGGAAACGTATTATCAGGACATGTATATTGTAACCCGCAGTTAGGGTAAATTTCTGAAATTCTCACCTCATCACTTAACAGTTCTTTCGTATTGTAATCATCAGTCGTAATATTGTCTTCATATGAAGGAGTACGCAACGTTTTCTCTGGCAACAAATTACCCCAGTATTGATTTGTTGTCACTATGACTATACATATAATAAAACTAATATACAGCAAGAGTCTAAACCTTGAAAGGTATTTTACTATGAACATTTTTATACCATTTTATCCGATAGTTAATAAGAACCTTCCATTTGGGGGTGGTGCTGGTGGTCTGCCCCTGGGGGTGGAACAAATGCCAACCTCCAATCAATCTGCTGCACTCTGTAATCAATCCATCAACTTCCAACAAAATTATATTGCAGATGTAACATTTTTATTATTAAAACATAGCGCATTAAAAAAATATACTTTATAATGGAAGTTAAGCGTTTAACAGCCTGTACTGACAAAATAAAAACACAGCACAGTGCAATATTGTCAATTGTTTTTTCTTATTTTGCCTAGCAACCACAGATTGTGGGTTCAAATAGAACAAGTCATACTGTCATAGTAATTCTTTTCACATCGAACCAATAAATATTAGTTTGTGCTTATTGGTAGGTATTACAAATTGTAGTTTGATTCTAAATGAAACATCCTTTACACAAACACATATGCACATCTCTAACATAATAAAAATTAAGGAATTAAATATATTAAAATGATTGTAATTTTGTTTTAATAGTTACTTCTCTATAATTTGTCTTTTTGATAATTGAAATAAAAATAATGTGCCATAGTTTTACTATTTCATTATAATAATAGTGTGTATATAATGTTATATTTTGAATAAATAATTAAACAAATGAATTTGTTAATTTATTATATTGGTAAATTTAATTGCATTAAGTGTCATTCATGGGTGGATTTTATGTTAAAGAAAGAAAGTGGCCACTGTTAATTTTTTGGAAACAATCTTAGGATCATTATTACTCATTTTTTCTGTTTTGTTGAGTGAAAAACATTGAGTAAATCAATGACAAATTTGTTATAAAACCTAAAATATACCACTCTTACTATTTACCAACCGTTGAAATGACAATGAGTACTCTATTCAATAAAGGTTTCTTCCTCCTCTAGTATACAATATGGAATTGATTTTATACCAATGTACGTACTAGAGGGCTTTGCGTCCAACTACTCGCTGGGTTTCCTGAGAATCAAACCACTTTACAATAATTTCTCCGTGCTATTCACAATTAAAAATCCATGGGCTGTGCAGGGATTTGAACCCAGGACTGCTAGTGTGGCAAATACGAGTCAGATGCTTAGCCACTGCGATGATCCCTTATAACTGATTTTACAATGTTTGCAGCATAGTCTGGAAGAATATTTGTATTCTCCAGCAAAGTCATTTTTCATTGCTCTAAACTCTCCAGCATCCCCAGAGTTTATTTTATATTCCTGTTTTATCAAGTCCTTTTGTTTAAGATGTTTAATAATAATCATTACGCAAATACAAACAATGAAATTTTTTGGTTGGGTGGGAGGGAACGGATAAGAAAATTCCAAAACTGTGTCTGATTCCCTATCCACTTATCCACCCAACACATGCTGGAATGGAAGTCATTTTCAAACATCGAGGGACAATTTTTATGACATGCAAAATATAAAATCTCTAATAAATGACACAAAAGGAACGATCGTTTTTATCAACTCATTCTCAATCTAATTTGCACTTATTAAGAAAATAGGAAGATTCAAGTAAGTGCGATCTTCTGTGGAGGTCCCTGCTTACATCTCCATAGAACATACTTATCAGTCCAGTACTCGGACAAGTTTATTCAAATCTTGTTTTCTTGCAAAATTAAAACTTCTCCTTGTATGAAGTTACCAGCATTACTCTTTGTGCATAGGCTGACATTAATTTTGACCTGCCATTGTCTTAGCTCAATGTATGTTCAGGGATATTTAACATCATAAAATGAACCAATGAAACTCCGAGACAGTTATTTTATGAATGTCAAGCTTCCTGGCTACATATGCTGGCTTCTTCATCTGCCAGTAATTGTTCAATTTTAGTTGGATAAGTTGCACTTAGTGGCACAAAATTATAAAATATGAAAAACAATTAAACAATTGAAAGGCAAATTAGTGTTGAAAAGTGCTGTAGATAAAAATAAATAAAAAATAGATTGTCTATTTCAAGAATCTTGTAATCTGATCGTCAAAGATGGGAGTCGATCGCCTATTAAAAAAATAATAACAATAAATAAATAAATGTACAAAAATTAACATGTTGACTTCTTTAAGAAACATTATTATTCTATTCAAATTAGATTTGTCTAATCTAAATGAAAAAATATTGAGAATGGCCAATTTCGCTTAGTCTTAGTATTTGTTACAATTTATTGAGGAATAAATTTAAGTTTATTTTATATGGCTTTATTTTTCAACATTAGCCAGAGTGAGGCTAATAGGCGGGTAACGTGAAAAAAAAAGGCTAATGTGATAATGGAAATTGAACCCACGACCACAGGGGCTATGAGCCAAGAGTCTGTTCTGCTGATCACTCGTATGCCGTGGTCCCCCAAGTTTATAAATTGATTATATTATATATATATTTTTTTTTTGCCAGGAAAAAGGTTAATTCTACAAAACTGTTTTATAAGTTTGTTTTAATTATTAATATTAAATCAAATTTCAGTTTATTTAATGGAGTGTAATCAGATGTATTTATACACCACATATATATGGTTATATACTTTACATAGATTCTACTTATTTAGCACACAAATTGAATTATATGCAAAGTGGATCTTTTCTTCTTTAGCATATAAAAAATATTTTTAAAAAACTAACTGTTTTAATTACATTGTTGTATTATGCAAATTTGAATTTGGTATAAAACAATAATGAAATTATTTCTCCTATATTTCAGCATTTAGGCTAAAATGCCTGATCTCGTGGAACAGATGTACTGCTCCCAGCAGATCATCATTCCTCCAAATCTGCCTTCGATACTTAAAAAGTACGCCAAAGCTGCAATCAGGACGCAGCCTTATGATCTGCTTGTCTGGTCATCAGCATATTTCCGGGCAATCTGCGATGGAATTCCGCCACCTGTGAAAGAAAGGATCGAATACCCTCCACCAATATCAGAGTCTGGACTCTCCCCTGGATTCCTTAAAGTTCTTATCAATCAAGTATGCGTATAAAGCAAAAAAAATATTTTACATTCTAGCACTTGTAACAATTTAATTTGCACGCCTTTAATTATTGGGTAGATTGGTAAAGGGGATACAGTGCCAAAGGAAATTTTAGAGTCACGCTGGAAAGGTGTCTGCCTAAACTTACAATATTTAGACGAATTGATTTGTGTTGGAGGCTTTTGCGATGACGTCGACTGGAGAAAGTTTATTGCTGTTGCTGCCGGGTCAATTGAAAGTGTAAGCAAATACAAAAACATTCTTTGTATAAGAAACAATTGAAAAAATAGTTAAAATTTACAGAATTTGACTAGAACGATGGTATTAATATGCGAATTGATGACAGACGAGCCAGAAGGTGGAAGTGCAAGCGTACAGTTAGAACTTTTTATTGACCTTTATAGATTTCTTGCGCAGCTCGATTGTGGGCCAATAGATTTTAGAAAGAGAGAAGTTTCCGAAACTGAGACAGTTTGCCCTCAAATAACAGCAGAAGATCATCCAGTGATATGTGACTGTAGATCAGAAGGACCGCCTCATGTGACCTGGGAGCAAGCTCTTGGTAAATATCCCTTCAAAATTCTCAAAATTTAATTTAGAAGTTATTTAATTCAGAATTCACTGTAAAATGTAAACATAATAATCATGGTTGGATTAAAGTATGTCAAATAATGAATTGAATTAATATCAGTAATATTTAATCTTAAAATCCTTTTAATTTTCATGATAGCTGACAAAGAGAATGACAATGAAAATTAAATGAATGTATTGCATTGATCTTTCTGGACAATTTTAAAATAATTTCATTATGTTAAAGAATAATGTTCATTTTATCACTTATTCAAATAAAAATTTAAAAAAATCTGTCCAAGACCAATACCAATACAAACAATAAATTTTCGAGCAATTACACATAAGTATTTACATTTTTAAGCCATTATAATTGTCTAAATAATATATTTATTGTCTTATTTTTGCTCCAGAGGAAACAAATGGTACGTAATAAATGTATTTGTTTTTTTCTTAAATTGCTTATTTTCTAATCATATATTTTATTATATTGATGAATAAATAGCTGATGTTATAGTTAAAGAGGGCGAAATAGAAGGTAATATTAGTTATGTAATTCTTATAGAATTTGTAAAAATGATATTGTTTAAGTTATTAAAAGAAAATGACATATAAGTTTATTTACAAATTGTTTCACATCATCCTTTGTTTTATTTTTCTATTTAAAGAAGAAAATCAGGAATGTAACACAGGTATGTATAAGATTTATTTATTATTTATTTTTTAATACATAGAAAAACATTTGGGTTGGTAAAGTGTATAATAACATATAAAGCTTAACTTAAATTTAATAATTGTATTTTCTTTGTTAGAACAAGAGGAGTACAAACCTGAATATGAAGATAACAATAAAGGTGAAGATGAACAAGGTAATATTAAAATCAATAGTAATAACAACTTTAAAAAATTTTAACTTTTGATTGAAAATTTTCAGAAATAAAAGAAGAAGAACAAGGTACTAAAAACACTTAGATTTTTTTAAATGAACGATATTAATAAATTAAAAAAATGATTCAGAAGGTACAGAAGAAATTGAAGAAGAAAATAAAGGTATTTTGAATAATTAAAATAATAAAATGAAAATATAGTATACTTTGAACTCTATATGGGAAAAATTATTAATAAATAATGATGTTGTAATTTTTTTTTTTTTTTTTTTTTTTGGATATGTAAAGAAGAAAGCCAGGACTGCAAAAAAGGTAAATATAACAATATGACAATTACGAGAATTTAAAAATTGTCTCTCTTACTAGACGAATTTGATGATGCAGTGAACACAGGTAGTCTTAAACATACAATTCAAAATGACAAGCATGATCATTTTTCTTTGTTTGAAAGAAGTTGGAGATAAAGCTGATGCAGAGGATACAGCTAAAGAAGTTGACCAAGGTAAGCATAAACTCTTCGAAATCAGTAATAAAAAAAGCAAATCTTTAAAAAGAAAATGTTTTCAGATATCAAAGTAGATGAACAAAAAGGTATGGACTTTGTTAAAAATATTTTTAAAAGATTATTATCAATACAAAATTAAATGCTGTACACTATTCAGGAAGTACAGAAGAAAATCAAGACGAAAATTATATTTTTGTACTTGCATTAACATTATTAAATATTAAGACATTGCATAATTATTTTATCTTGTCACTATTTATTTACAGATGATGAGAGGACTAATGAAAGTGAAGAAAAAGGTAATATATTATATAGAATAAGTTAATGCTTAAACTATTTTTACTTTAAACTATAATATGTTTTAACAAATAATTTTAATAATAAATCTATCTGGTTCTATGTTGAAAATAATTTAACATTGCACTCTTAAGGAAACTTAATCAAGATGAAAAAAGATAGATTTGCTTAGTGTCAAGATGGTAAAAGAATTTTAAATAATGAAGATGCCATAAAAGGTATTAAATAACAATCACTCTGATAAATTACTTAATTATAAATAATAAAGAAATTTTGAAGTAAAATGAATTTTGGTTATACATAACAAGGATTATGAAGTTATGTGAATGAGTAAAAATGCCCAGAGTGCTTTACGATTAAAATGTCCAATATATTATTTTTAATTTTAGAAATTTTACAAGCAGATGAGGAAAATGGTGAAATGACAGAAGTTGAAAATGGCGGTAAGAAATGTCTTTGGTTTAAATAACACAATTAAATTATTGTTATTTTTAATTTGTGTTATTGTTTAGAGTCTGCAATTCAAGATGTTGAAGGTAATTACTTAAAGATTACAATATTTTGAATAATTAACATTGCTAAATAGCCGTTAGTTGTAATTTTTATTGTTCTGAATTTTTTAACAAACAGCAAAGGATGGGGTTGTCAAAGATGAAAATCCAAATGAAAGTAGGTTTTTTTTTTTAAATTAAGAACTAATAAACAAAACTTGCATAACTAACCAAAATATACTATAAAAAATTTAAGTGGCATATTTTTACTATTCTCTTTAAAATTAAAATATCGAATCTATTATTTTGAAATTTTGAAATTCTACAAGCAGATGAAGAAAATGGTGAAATGACAGAAGTTGAAAATGGCAGTAAGAAATGTTTTTGGTTTAAATGACACAATTAAATTATTGTTATTTTTAATTTGTTATTGTTTAGAATCTGCAATTCAAGATGACAAAGGTAATTAATTAAATATAATATTCTGAATAATTAACATTGCTAAATAAGTCGTTACTTGTAATTTTTTTCAATTAAAAATATATTTTAATTGTTTTGAATTTTTTAATAATCAGCAAAAGATGGGGTTGTTAGCGATGAATATCCAAATGAAAGTATGCACATATTTTTAAAAAATTAACAAAATAAAAAATCTTTTATAATTATCCAAAAAATATTTTAAAAAATGAAAGTGGCATATTTTTACTAAACTCTTTAAAATTAAAATGTCCAGTCTAGTATTTCTAAATTTTACAAGCAGATGAAGAAAAGGGTGAAATGACAGAAGTTAAAAATCGTGGCAAGAAATGTCTTTAGTTTAAATAATACAATTAAATTATTGATATTTTAAATTTGTATTATGACTTAGAGTTTGCAATTCAAAATTATGAAGGTCATTAATTAAAGGAAAAATTTTCTTCTTTTTTTTTTCTTTAAAGTTTTTCAAAAATATATATTGTAATTTTTATTGTTCTAAATGTTTTAACAATCAGCAAAGGATGGGGTCGTCAGTGATGAAAATCCTAATGAAAGTAGGTATTTTTAAAAAAATTAATAATTAATAAACAAATTTTGCATAACTAACCAAAAATATTGTAAAAAGTGAAAGAAAATGTTAACAATGTAGCTGAAATACAGGATGATAATGATGAAGGTATGCATACTGATTTGTAAATATAAGAATTCTAAATTTCGTTATTTGTATAATTATTAAGCAGCAAAGGAAGCTACTGAAGGAAATAAGGCTGAAAGTGAAACAGAACTAGGAAATGCAATAATTGATACAACTATCTTACAAATTAACATGTTACAACTTAATATCATATATTTTTATTTACAAATAACTAGTTAAAGATAGTAAAAATATGTTCGAATTTTTAGATCAATTTACACATAAATTTATAAAAAGTATTTATGAAAATTTGATTTTTTTATTATCTTTAAATTTTGCAACTTTTTTCATAAAATATCTTCTTTTTTAACAAAAGAGATTTAAAGGTATAGTTGTACAGCCGAATTCCGCTATTTTCCTCATTTGTTGCAGAAATATTTTCTTCACTGCTTGCTAGTTTATGTTTCTCTGCACGCTCTGTTTGTAGAATTTACACATCCATATCCATCAATATCAATTTTAAATCTAGATATTGTTGCTTACTTGTTAGAACTAAGCACACCAATTTATTTTTGCATTTCGGGCCTTCGAGTTCAACTTAGCTAAATAGCGAGTATTGTAGCTCTGAAAAGGGACCAGGGACTTGGCCCGAAATGCTTAAGCAACTGAAATAGTTGCATAAAAATAAATTGGTATGTTTATTTTTAAAAAACCACACTAGACTTAAAATATTTTTACCAAATTAAGTTAAAATATTATAAATCTAATGCCATTTTAAGTTTCTTCCTTTTTACTCAAGACTTCCAAGTAGACTCTTGAATTGTTTATAGCCAGTGAGATATTTTCAGTGTTTAGTTTTTCTGAGCTCTTGTGTTTTGAACTGAAAGAGTCTCTAGGGCATGTGTTCCAATCCTGAAGATGGTCTTGCATTTGGTTTGAGGATTCTTAGCTTATCTAGTTTAATTTTTTTAACTAGATAACATTATTTTTAATGTTTCAGCGGAAGAGGACAATAGGAAAAATATCGATGAACAAGGTTTGTCAATATTTTAAGTAATACTAATAATACATTACATTTTTTAAACTAATCTTACTAATAATTGCCAATAATAGTAACTAAGGTCATTTTGGACTCATTGAGAGCAGATGAAGAGGATGGAGGTAATAGATTTATTAATATTTTAACTTTTCATGTTAAAAATTGATTTTTAAAAAATAATAAGATAAAGATACTTTTGCAGATTTGTAAGCTTAATCTGCACTTAAAATATCAAAATTGTTAATTTTCATGTACACCTTTGTTACAGACAAAACTGAAGCATCTGAAGGTAAATAATGTTGAGCTTGATAAGCGACTCCTGTATAATTATAAGTTTTGTTTTTTAATTTATATAATTTTTCATTGTTTTTTAAATAGCATTTTTGTTTATTGTATGTAATTTCAAAGATGGTTTGTTACAATGAATTTTGAATTTCAGAATTCAAGGATTCACTGGAGATGAACGACACAGCTTCTAAAGGTGAATAAGTGTGTCAGAGTAATTTTCAAAATAGTCATTTTCCTTTGTTTTCAGAAGGGGAAAGCATTTTAAAAAAGAATGCGGTTTTGGAACTAGGGCCACTCTTGGTTTTTATCTTGAATTAGTTTTTATTGTTGTTTAGAGTATTTTAGAGTTTTAGGTTTTATTAATTCAATTCTATTTGATTTAATTAGACATTCAGTGAATTCTGAAATCCCAGTTATAAATAATGAAAAATTAATATATCAAATTAGAAAAGAAGAAATTAAATGTTTTAAATTTTTAACAGCCGATTTAGAGAGAATCGATTCAGGCTTTTCGGTTGAAACAATGTTAGTTGAACAAGGGAATCTGTTTAATGTTTGGCCTCTAATAGAAGAGGATGTAGAAGAAACAGAGGGTGAAGAAGAAATATCAGACATGGCTGACTCTGCTTATGGAGTTCAAGTTTGTAGCTTGTTGATTTAGTATTTCTTTTAAGAAACCCTCAGATCATTTTTTTTTTCTAAAACAAATAGTTAAGAAATAAATATATCCCAATATTTCAATTATAGGTTTGGGATGATACTTTCGGTTCAAGCTCCTTTGAAATGCTTTATGCCGGTGAAGAAAGGCTAATGGTATGAGACTGTACTAATAATTTTATGAGACTATAGGGTTACATAATTTATTACCTTTTTTCAATATCTTTAATGCGCCTCACAGGGAGAAGAAGATTTTAAAATACAGAGCGGTATAGGCCCTGATGTTATAGTTTTAGAACCACCAGATGCTAGCAATATAGATGCCGAAGGTAAAAATATAGATCAATTTTTAAGACAGATGTTGCAATTTATAAATTTATCTTAATAAAAGCCCTGATAATAATAAATTTCAAAGGAGTAAAAACAAACAAAAATTGGTAATTTTCTAAATGCAAAATTGGGTCGCATGTTGATTTTCTGGAACATGTTAAATGAGTGAAATGTTCAAACATTTTCTTCAAATTACATTTCAAATCAGAATTTGCATGATTTTTCATGTCATTTTTGCTCTATTATTTATTGTTATTATGAATGCAGTCAACTATTCTTTATTATTAAGTATTTTATGGGATAATTCCCAAGTAGTACAGTCTTACATAATAGTTAACATAACATTTATATATGAGTAGTAAGAAATATGTATAAAATTTATAAACATAATATGCCAAGTGCACAGTAAAAAGTAAAGCTGGTATAATTCACACAAAAAAGTAAAAAAAAAATATATATATATATATAAACTTAATTACTTAATAATAGAAACTACACAAATTATGTTTATTACCACGAATGACAACTAGTCATTAAATCAAATTTTTCTTAAAGGTTCAAATTTACAGTACAGAAACTCTATGTTGCCAAAATTGTCATCAAAAGCCCCTGATTGACCCACACTGTAACTAATGATGAAATTAAGGATAAAGCATATTAACATCCTCTATTCCTTCTACTAGGAAGTAGAAGATTTATTTTAGTTAATAACTCCGGACAATAATAGATCCCATTCACCAACTTATATAAAAATATATGCCAAGGACCAAACACGATTCTGGATCATGAGCCTCAGCCCCCCAAGCACCATATTCCTTTTCTTCTTTTTAAAAACCGTGTATTTCATGAACCTTTATTGAACCTTTTCCAATTTGATTCCAAGTCTGCAAAATTCCAAGGAAACGAACAGAGGAGCAGTAGTCAAATATACTCCTAACAATACCAAAAAAGATAATTTTAATGGTTTTTATATTTGTAAAGTCTGAGGTGTTCCTTTTAATAAAGGCCAGATTGCGGTATCCTTTGGAAATCACTTGCTCAATATGTTTCTTAAATGTTAGTTCACCGTCAAATACCACGGCAAGATTGTTAATTTTCATCCAAAAAATAGATTGAAGGAAACCCCTTTCTATCATTTAAAAATAAATACAAAACATTTTAGTATTATTGGCACACCAGTTCGAGAACCCATCCAAACTTTTTGTTATAGTTCATGGTCACCAGTACAGTTTACCATTCTGAAAATTGTAATATCATTGGCAAGTAATAAAAATTGAGATCATTGAGTGTTTTAACATTGTGAACTACTATAAGCGCATGCACGTGTGTAAGCTAGGGCTCAAGTATGGTTTACTGCTTTAAAACTACTACATGTAAAATAAAAAAGTTAAAGATTTCATGAAATAATTTATATTATTTTTTCAGAATATATTGATGAGGATCAAACTGATTCTGAAATGTTGAAAAAGCCAAGGGAAAGTGAGGAAGTGGAAGATATGTTTGCCCCTAAAATTGACAGCTTGAGAGAAATTCTGGATGATGAATACGTAGGAGAACAGGAAGGAGAAGAGATAGATGTCGTAGATCAAGAATCTAGCAAAGAATCTGAAGAGCCAGTTGCAGAAGAGGAAGAGGAAAAAGAAGTGTTAGGAGATGTTATTGAAGATAATATTGTGACCATTATTGAGCCAGATGCAGATATACACCATTTGCCAACACCGGTTACATCCGAGATATCAGTTCTAATAGAGGAACAAGCTGAAGGTGAGACATCTGCAGATACGTACGATCCTTCACAAAAGTTGGCAGAGAAGCAGTCCTTGGTCGACGTCAGGGTTATCGCCGAGGAACCTGTTGTCATAGAAGAAGAACAAGAAAAAGAAGTCCAAGCGCATGATCCCTTCTGGAAACACATTCCTGGAATTGGGCCAGTTGTGCCAGAAGAAATTGTTGAAGATTTGGTTGCATACCTAAAAGTCGTTGCTTCATATCAGAGCAACATGGTCATGCCTAAGAATCTTCGCCATTTCAAATGCCCTCCTCTAGAAATCATTGAGAATTAAGACAATGATAGAAATAAAATGCACTGGTATTCTTTCTTGAAAATTTTCACTCACAAAACGACCAGAAAGTAATGTAGTGAGATCATTCATTGCTAAATTGCATATCTTGTTAACACAATATAATTTTTAGTTGTTATACACCAATAAAACACTGATTTAGAAATTAATAACAAAGAAAGTTTTTAATTTATACAATTCCTCTCAAAATAAACCACCTGTTTAAATTTCATGTGTTATAACTATAAACAATCTGATTCTTAGTACAAATTTTGGTTTTAAAGTATTTAATGGGTAGGGACTGGTTAATTGGGGACCGCGGTAGCCGAGTGGTTAACGTGAGAGACTCTCGGCTCATAGATGCCGCGGTCGTGGGTTCGATTCCCACCGTCGCCTCTGGCCCTTTTTTCACGATAACCCCCCCCCCCAAATATGAACACATAAGAATTAATTCATCATTCATATGCATAGATCATAAGGCAAAAAAAGGATTCAATGCATATTATTAAGATGTGGATTAGTGTTATTAATCCAAAGCTGAAAATTTTCATCAATAATTGAACAGATCCACCTAAAATTTAGTTGTAAGAGTATTCTTTTAGTGTATTATTTTTAATAGGAATTTACAATGTTTAATTAAATATGAGAAATATGAACTTATATGAGTGATGTAGAGAGATTATTGTTACATATAATATAAATTTTTCATTATTGACTTTATATTAATTATTACATTATTGAATTAATGTAATATAAATATTAATGTCCTATAAATATTTCTTCTGTTTACTTTTGTACTGACTAATCCCATTTACACAAAAAGTAGAATTCCATTCTGATAGTCCTAAAGATCGCTTTCAGTTAATCTTTTTTTTCTTTGATTTCATTTGATATTATTCTTAAACCTTTTTTAAACTCCAGTCAGTCATTTGAGTGAGTATGACAGCGCCAGGGTCATAACATTATTAGAGAAAGTATAAAGGCAGCGCGAAATTGCCAGGAGACTGAGTGTAAATCACTCTACAATAAAAATGGTTTTTCAACACTTCAGCATTACGTGACATGAAATAAGACATCTCTTAAGTCCAAAATGTTTTGATTTCCTCCAGGACTGTAAGAAGAATGCTCAATGAAAAAAAAAAAACTCAGAGTGCTACACCCAGCTCACGGACCTCTTCCTGCCATTTCTTTCCTGTAATTTCCTGCCACAGCTCAGAAAATGGCTAGGCTTCAATTACACATAGTAACACACATTGGAATATTGGAGACAAGTTCTCTTTACAGGTGAGGTGAGAGGTGGCCTCAAATATTCAGATGAGCATATTTCATATGGAGATGCTAAGGAGAAAGGTACTCAATGCTGTATGATTCCTCAGGAAGCATTCGACAGTGGGTCATTGATACTCTGAGGTGACATTTCTTTGGATGCTGAATTGGCGGTTGTGTAAAGATCTCTAACTTCACATAGTACTTCAAAGAATATGTAATGCCATTTGTCCCCACATTGGTGAGAGAGTGCTAATGCGAGATAATGTCAGGCCTGGTAGAGCAGGTATTGTAGACACCTTCCTGAAGAGGTTGGAATTGAGTGGTTAGTGTGGCCAGCTCAAAGTCCAGATTTTGAACCCAATTGAACACATTTTGGACCAACTTAAGCGACAAGTACGATGGCGAATCCCAGGTACTAACACCCTAGAAGAGTTGGAAACGGCTGTTCATGGTGATTGGAAAAGGATTCAGGATTTTACCAGAAATCTTTTCCAAGGAATGCAAAGGCATTTAATGGACATGGTTCCTGTCAGAGGTGGAAATACTCGCTATTAAAACATACACAAAATTTTAAAAAAATATTTTTGTTTTTAATTAAAAATTTTTTTTTTAAGAATTCTGTAATAAACATGTTCTTTTTAAATTTCTTATTTTTTCAACCAAACCTATGTTTGGTATGCAAAATATGAATAAACCTTTTTACATTAAAATTTAAGGCTGGTTCATTAATTTTGTCCATCAGTGTATTTTTCTTTTGTACAAGGAAATTTGTTACAATTGTATCTCTTTTTTTTCTGTACTATGTACGGTGAATGTAAGCCTAATAAAATTGGTGCAAAAAAATGTTGTCTTCAGAGATTTTCAAAAATTTATATAACTTTTGGTCTATTCACAACACACGATAATTTTTCTATATTTTAGTTGCGCCCCAACAATATCCACCATGTGTTATTTTGAAATCCTCCATCACTTGACCTATCGACCAAGATCTTAATGGCATGGCTTAATAAACTAGTGTTTTAATAACATATTATTTTAGTCTGTTTGCCAGCAACTTTGGTCTGGCTATTATTGCAGGTTTTTATCTTTCAGACGCATTTCTTGGATTTTCTGCATCATCAGTGCTAAGTGACAAATAAAACCGGTGAACATAGGAAAACCGAAATTACCAAAAATGACTGACCTACAGATTCATCATTATGCAGACCCCACGAATAAATCTTATATTATGTACAAATAATGATGATTTATTATTAATTATATACAAATTTTTCAAGAACGTGATTTTATTATTTATTTAACATATATGACTTCAATGGTCTTGGAGTTTAGGAGTAGTTTAAAAAATTAAATTACAATATAGTATATTATATATTATATTTGGATAGATGCCCAAACATCATGTGTATTATAAAAAGTACTACAAAAAGCAATATAGTATTTTTAAAATAATTAAATATTCAATTAATGCAGTTGAAAAAGTATTCATATTACAGTTGATTAACCAGCCCAACTGAGTGATAAGGCTTTCTAGTTTCTTCTTTGCTTTGAAAGTTTGAATGCTACCTCGAGTGCAGTATTTGTAACCTTTTTTTATACTGGCGGTAACTTGCTGCACGTTTGTATACAATTCATGCTGCAGATCTTTCTCCCGAAAATATATTTAAACCTGTTGAAGTGTTAATGTTATTGAAAATTTGTTTTTCGGTCCGTTTCAATACAAGCTGTCGTTTATCAAATGCTAGATCTTTCCCAGTAATGAAAGTACTGAACGTTGCTGAAAAAAACGATGCGGCAAAAAATATATCTTTCTTCCTTTCAAGAGGAAACACAAGAAAAGTACGTGGTATTGTTTCGATGCCAAGTCTTGAATTGGTAATATTTTTAAATTTATTTTAGAGAGAAGGCTTGTCGGTTTACAACAAAATATACGAGTTCGAATGTGAAGTTTTTGGCCAGAGGTGTTCCATGTCGATGACTTCTGTCAGTGGACACTTGCTCAATTATGAATTTATATCTTCATACAAATCATGGCAAAGCTGCAGCCCTGAAGATCTCTTTGATGCACCTGTCGTCAAAGGCTGTACTGAAGATGCTATCAAAATAAAGGTAAGTTGTGATGGTAACTTTCGTTTGTAATACAAGGTTTGAGAGATGTATGACCGTACTTCTGTAATGAGTTCATTATACTTATAAAGCGGTATGGTTGTCAAAATGACATAACTAAGTGCCAAGGTGACTTGGAAAAATTGGTTTGTTGAAACTAATATTGGGTAGTGTTTAGGTTCAGGTGTTTCAATGCTCAAAACAATTTGATCAAGTCGCCTTCAAAGGTCTATGGCTGCCTGTTCCTATGTCCGTTTCCACACGTTTCCGGTTACACAGGATGGTTGTGCAACCATGAACCCCTGAAGGCCCAACCCTCACGTCACCAGGCGTTAGCCATGGCTGCAGCCGTGCCCAGGATGGACCACTGGGAGGTGCCTCGTCGGGATACAATGTGAGGGTCGCACCTTACAATTATCTTACGTGCTAATGAGGGGGTGCCCAATCTCCCCGTACACTGAACCCCGCCTGGGAGAGAAAGAAAGTGGGCACCCCTCGTACATACTACTACTATATATACAATAAACTACATATATATTTACAATATGTTTATATATACAATTAAATCTAAAATATCGCTAATATATTCATCATTGGTTTTGACTGCACTGACACTTAGATTAACACTTACACTGACACTTTTATTCGACACTGTTGGGTGGTGTTGGCCATCCTTTTGTTGTCATCACCTGATACACAAAGTGTTTAGTGGCTGCAAATCCTTCCTTTGACATTATTGCACTGGATATGGTTCGGATGTCACACTCTATGGAGCACGTTTCCCTTAACCATCTTCTTGCAGCTGAATGAGCCGGGCACTCCGAAAAAGTGTGGTCCGCTGTCTCTTCAGAACCGTTGGAGCACTGAGGGCACTCCACCATGTTCCATATGCCGAATTTACACAAATATGTCCTAAAATCACCATGCCCCGTGAACATTTGGGTCAGTCTCAACATATTTACGTTTTAGTCTGTCACTTATAGAAGGCATAAGCTGATGGGTACGACGGCCTTTGTCGGTTTCATCCCATCGTCTCTGCCACCGCGTAATTGTGTCCATATGAATTCTGTTGGTAATGTCTCTTTTCTGCCAGTTCTTTTCCTTGCATTTCTTCATAGATTCTTCACCGTTTCTCAACTTGTAATATAACTGGGATTACATCTAAAATGTGGAACGCTTCACGATTTTGCGTGACATCCTTGCCATGCTAATCTTCTCTGTTCCAATTTTAGTATATGTACCGCCGAAGCGAGTACATTGATCAAGTCGCCATTCAAAGATTTATTATGCTGAATTGCTCAATAGTTTAAACCAGAATTCATATGCTACCACTTGGGATGGTAAACCTAACCATCCCCAAACCATAATCATCACATCCTACAGTAAGCACCGATTTAATAAGTTTGGCGTTTAATATATTATCACTTGGTAATGAGGTCTCAGCAAAATGCATTTATTTACTTCGAAATCCAAAAGATGACTTTACTTGAAGGATACATCGCGAATGATTAGAGATTGAAGTTTTTAACATATTATCCCTAAGCTTAGGCGTAACCAGAGATCCATTTAGAAAAGGGCTGATGCTTTGCGTCTGTGGAAGTATGAACGTTCTTTCCACTTTGAACAATTTCCAGATTATTGGAAAATTGATTTATGCTACTGTTAATAGACAGCATCTTGTCTTATACTGTACATGAGGCAGTTTAATTGATTCCACTAGGTTGCCTGGTTGACTCAACTAGTTGACTGCCGTATGATGACTTTTCTTTGGCAGATTTCATATCCAAACTTGATATGAATCAAGTTGAAGTGGAATCAACTTGTCTTCCCAACGGGAGAGGTCAGTATTTCATTAGAACGCAAGGAAGCAGGAATACATCTTGTGCTTGCTCTTCTGCAAGCAAAGAAGCAAAAAAGGAGGAAACCTAGCTGAAGAAAAGTATAGGTCATCCGTTACAAAATAGTTAAACTTTCTCACAACTAGTGCCTTGCCACTTCCCTCCAATCAACTCCTTTTAATTTTGTAACTATACTCATCACACTTCATGTATATAGGAACTAGTATGAATTTCATCAATAAACTGTTCCACGTTGAAACTTGCAATGGCAACGCTTTATTTGGTGAACTGAGTTGAATCAACTGGGTGTGAAGGACAAATGTGGAGTTGTGTCTTTTTAGTTAACCAGTGGGGATCAGAAAGTGACCACTATTTGCCTAGAGGCCACCCGTTGTTGAGTGACTGAGTGTGAAGGGATGGTTCCCAATTAATTATTCACTACCTGCCTATATTCACACCTATCCATTATTCATCTAGTTGATTTAACTAACCGGCTCATCTGAAAGAGACCTAATCAATGACAATTGTTAGTATATGTCCTGGTATTTAACTTATTGGTTATTGCTTACATCTATTATCGCATTGAAAATTTGAGGAACTTTTGCCAGGAACTTAAGGCTAGTACATGCTTGTAGACAAAATTGTGCTACTGTCTATAGACAAATTGCTGATTTTGTCTGTAGACTGTTGCAGAACAAATCCAAGATGATCTAGAACCTTTGTCATGTGTCTACATCTACATGGTTCAGTTAAACTAGTTTCCATAACGAGTGAGATAGCGGCCTGCGACTTTGCTGCTTGTGCGGTTTTAATTTTTGACCAAAAAAGGAAAATGATTTGTAAATGTTGGTGGACAAGGAACATTTTAGCAGACGGTCTTACATTTGGATTGGCTCTTCTGAATAAATTAAAATTAGAAGATAGTTTAGTTTTTGAAATTTCAACCGGCTAACCACCACGGATTTTGAAAATTTGCTATTTATGGTTGGAAATAAAATATGCAAGCAAGAAATGAGATCCAGAGCAACCATTCTGGCCATTCAACAAAATATTGTGCGACATGTTTCAAGAACATAGACTTGCAATTTTTGTCTACAGGTAGTTGCAGAACAAGCAATTTGTTCCCAATTTATCTAGACTATTGCAGAATTTTTTTAGACACGAGTTTTGCGATTTTGTCACGAGTGTATACTAGCCTTTAGAGAGTCTAAGTTTGGGAGTTTTTGGTTCTAACACCTTTGCCCCTCCCTCCTTAGCAAGATTTAGTAAAACTTATTAAATCACATCGCATCAATAAAACTTATTTTTCACATTTTGTCTAAAAAAACAAAACAAAAAAATATGGTTAATTGTTTGTTACAGAATACGCTTGAACGGGAGGCAAAAAAATTTTCAAAATTGATCATTTGGACAGATTGCGACAGAGAAGGGGAAAACATTGGTTATGAAATAATTGACACATGTAAAAGGGTGAATCCTTCTCTTGATGTCTATAGGTAAAATTTGTACATTCCACTTTTGAATAATTAAATGTAAAAAATTAAATATGGGCTTCAGGGCCAAATTTTCTGAAATTACTTCAGCTTCAATAAGGAGGGCGATTAATAATTTGATTAGACCAGACAAAAATATAAGTAATGCAGTTGATGTTAGGCAGGAATTGGATTTGAGAATAGGTTTGCATTTATTTCATTCCACTAAAATTTTTGTTTGTATTATTATTTTCTACTATTTTGTTTATTTATTTTCAGGGGCTTCATTCACACGATTTCAGACTCTTCGTTTGCAGAAAGTATTCCCTGTCTTGGCAGATCATCTCTTGAGTTATGGCAGCTGTCAATTTCCAACATTGGGGTTTGTTGTGGAGAGATATTTAGAAAGGGAAAAATTTATTTCTGAACCATTTTGGAAGATTAAAGGTGGTGTATTAATTACTTTTTAAAAAAATTTAAGTAATTTAAAAAACTTAAATTTTAGTTACTCACACAATTGATGATCTCACTGTTGAGTTTCGCTGGGCAAGAGATCGTCTCTTTGATCAAGCAATTTGTCAAGCCCTCTTGGCCAGATGTCAAGAAAGGCCGACTGCAAAAGTGGAGAAAGTTGATGGTAAACCCAAATCTAAGTGGAGGCCAACGCCCTTAGACACGACGGTAATAGTTGTCATAATAATTATAAATCATATCTGGTAATAGTTAAATAAAAAGTCAATTTTCAATTGAAAATCTCTTCAAGGAAATGGAAAAAATTGCATCACGAAAATTGAAAATCAACGCTAAAGAAGCTTTGCGGATAGCAGAGAAACTGTACACAAAAGGTTTTATAAGCTATCCGAGAACTGAAACTAACATTTTCCCCGATTCGATCAATTTGAGGAATTTGGTCGAAATTCAAACCCAAGATTCAAGATGGGGAAGTAAGTAGAAGAAATAAAGCGTCATCCTCGGTCAATTTTATTTATAAAAATTTCACCTTTTTGGCGAGGTTAACGGAATGTTTAATTTTTCTGTCCCAGACTTTGCGCAGAAAGTTCTTCAGGATGGACCTAACCCCCGACAGGGGAAAAAAAGTGACCAATCCCATCCTCCGATACACCCCATTGCTTATACCACATCCCTAGAAGGTATGCATTAATGTCCTTTTCCTAAATTTTCACATTTTGCCTGATTTTTATTAACTTTGATTAACTTGAAGCAAAACAATGGGCAAAAACTAGAGGAGTATTGCGATCAATGGAGCCTTACAGTGAACCTTGACAAGTCAAAGATAGTGGTTTTTCGTGCGGGTAGAAGGTTAGGGAAAAACGAGAGATGGGTGTTGCTGAATAGGAGAATTGAAGTGGTGAGCGAGTATTGTTATCTGGGAGTAACGCTTACCCCAAAACTGTCGATGGTCAAACATGTAAAGAAGAAAGCCCTGGCTGTGAAACTGGCTATAAATAAGGTTTGGTCTGGCCTAATTTCAAACGACCTGGTACCAATAAAAAATAAATATCAAATTTTCACAGCCGTTTGTTGTGCAATTCTTTGCTATGCAGGCCAAGTTTAGGGCTATCGCAAATATGAAGAGTTAGAAAAAGTTCACTGTTTTTTTGTTCATAAGTTGTTTGCCCTTCCATCATCAACTCCTAATTATATGTTGTATATTGAGACTGGCATAGAACTGTTGTTTGTTTATTCTTTAAGGTTACATTTTAAGTATATTTTGAAATCACTTCAAGCTCCTGATTCTTGCCTGGCAAAAATCACATTACTTGAAGTTATTAAGGGTAACATATCCTGGTCCAAATCCTGGAATTCTCTTGCGGAGAGGTATAATGTGGCTTGGTTCTCTTTGGATAATTCTGCATCGTGGTCTGAAATGCTTTCCAACCTTCTTCATATCTTATGGAGAGTTGTATTTCTCGTGCCGTGGATTCAAATAGATTCCAACTCTACAAGGAGTTGAATCATTCCCTAACTCCTTGCAAAGTTTTTTTCTGCTCCAGCAAATAATGCACTGTTCTCTTTTTTCCGCTGGTGGTTTAAAATTCGAGGGGAGTTGTTGTTCCTGAATTTTAGGCCTTGGGTTGGCAGGTACTACTGCCACTGCAGTGTGCTCTCTATGCAACTCAGGTGATCGTGAGGATGCATTTCATTTTCTCGCTAGGTGCTCGGTCCTGAACGAATTGAGGTATATGTATGTGGGTAAGGGTTTTCAGACGAGGGAAGAGCTTATAGTCCTTCTGAATGGCTCGGAAAGCCTGGTTTTGCAGATATGAATATATTGGAATGTAGAGAATTAATATTCTGTTTGTCTTATTTTGTTTCCTTTTTTGCTCTCACAGGTAATACATATAATTTCTACTTTGTGGGCTTCTAAATGCGAATTTTGTTTGCCAGTGGGGACCCTTTGTGAGTTGGAATCCTTGCTTTTGTACTGTGAAGTGTCATTTTTATTATTTTCAAAGTTTATCGCATTTCAATCTTGTAATTTGAAAATCCTATAAATAATTGTAACCTCTGAAGTTGATATTTTAAATTCTCCTTTTCTTACAATTATATAATTATGCATATTCTTGGAATAGTAATGCACTCCGAACTCCGGCTGATGGTCTTAATACCATGCCGTAATAATACTGTTTTTTATTTTTAACTCTAATTTTCTTTTATTTTGTAAATAAAGTATATCTATCTATCTATTTATCAAGATGAAAATGTTATCAAATGAAATTTTAACATAAATGTAGCTCTTTTCAGGTAATGATGCAAGGATGTATGAGTTTATCGTTCGCCACTTTTTAGCATGTGTATCAAAAGATGCCAAAGCCCATGAGACTTTAGTCTCGATTGACATCAACACAGAAAAAGTGAGTTTATGCCATATTTTAATAATTATAGTCATTACATTTAACTACAGTTTTCAGCTTCGGGCTTGATGATATTGGAAAGGAATTACCTTGACGTTTACCCTTATGAAAATTGGAATTCAAAAAATATTCACAGGTATGAAGTTAATCAAACCTTCGAACCGACAAGCTTGGATATTACTGAGAGTCAAACATCAGCACCAAACCTTCTTACAGAAGCGGATCTTATCGCATTAATGGAAAAACATGGCATTGGTATTATTTTCAATGCTTAAAGATAAATAATTATCAAATTGATTAATTTTTTTCTAGGTACGGATGCGACGCATGCTGAACATATAGAGACTATTAAAAATAGGTTTTATGTTGGACTTGAAGATAATATTCACTTTGTTCCAAGTGCAATTGGAATGGCTTTAGTGGAGGGTTATGATACAATGGGCTTTGCCATGTCTAAACCTGTTCTTAGGGCAGAGCTTGAAGCCGAACTTAAAAGGTAATGCTTAGAAGAAAAACTTAAAATCTGAAATCTGTTTATTTAACATTAACTATTTAATTTTAGGATTTGTGATGGTGTGAGGCAGCCGGAAATAGTCTTGCGAGAACAAATTTCCAAATATCGAGAACTATTCAGGATAGCTAAATCTCAGGTGAACAAGATTGACTCTGCCGTTGCAAAATATCTGCAAACTACTGCAAGGACTTTAGACCCTAGAGAAGACCCTTTGTCAGTTGCCACACCGATTAGCCAGCCGGTCATGCCATGTAGGATGTGCAGTCTTAAATTTGTTGTCAAAACGAATCAGATGACGCAGAAGAGTTACATTTCTTGCCAGGGATATCCAAGCTGCAAAGCGGCAATTTGGCTTCCTACAAAAGTAGTCGATTTTTCCGTTTCTAATCAAAGCTGTGAAGTTGTAAGTGCCTATTTAAAATTAATGACGTTAGTGATTTAAAAAAATATTGAAAAAAAATTGTATATAGTGTGGGCCCAATGTGAAAAAAATTGAATTCAAGTTCAGCCCTGGATCTATGGCTCCTTACTATCCAAATAATTTCACTGGGTGTATAAATGGGTGTGATAGCTTTTTTTTGGAAATGCTAGACATCAGAATTCCTCGGCCAGCTAGTAGCACTGCTACAACAGAAAATTTGACATCGAACTATTCATCACAGTATAGTTCTCAATCAACCAGAACCTCACAGCAAAATAGATCGTCAAATAATTCAGCATTATCGGGTATGCTGTTGCATTAATTTTGAACATTGAATGAATTTATTATTATTACTTATTTTCTTTTTTTTACCTTAGGACACAATATGCTAGGTTCAAGTCGACCACAAAATAGAGGATCACATAACTCCAACTGTAAGTGGCATAACTTTAATATCAAATGTCTATTTTTATTAGAATATTACTATTGTGAAGATATTGTAGGCAACTTATTTGTGAAGAAGAATATACAACCAGCTTTCTTTTTTTTATAAATTAGATATATTTTGAAGCAGGGCTGCCTAAAAAAAGACAACTGGTTGTAAACTGTTCTTCACAAAAAATTTACCTACAAAATCTTTCAAATGAAGCAACTTTTGAAATAACATTTAAAAAACAAACTTAATTACATTTTAGCTAATGACTTTGACAATGGAAGAGGACAAAAACGGCCAAGAGAGCCACCAGATGACAATGTTGAGCATAAGTGTTTCTGTGATTTACCTGTAAAAAAGTGTGTATTTCTAAATTTAGACAGAACAGAGATTATTTATTCATTTATATAACACAAATGTTATTTTGTAGACTGACTGTTAGAAAAGAAGGCCCAAATTTAGGAAGAGAGTTTTTAATCTGTTCTAAGGATACAGATGATAAATGTGGATATTACGCATGGTTTGATGAGTTGACTGAAGGTGTGTAAAATTATTTTATTGTATTTATAAAAAAATGTATTATATTGATATTATAAATATAATATAATTTATTATATTGTATTTATAAAAAATTGTATTGATAATAATCACATTTTACATGTTTGCTGCTAATAGTTTGACAAAATTTGCCTTATAGAAAAATGTGTGGTGTTTAGTGACCATTAGTCAATGATTATTCAGAGATCGTGAGATGCGGTCTGGTGTGACGTTTTAGAAAAACTTCCCACAATTACGCAGAAAACAAACACTTTGAGAGAGTACAAATATTTTGAATAATTTTTTTTTTTTTAATTTTGCATTGTATACATTTTTTTCCCACATCCTACATGTATTTGTTAAATGTAAACAATGTTTGTAAATCCCAGGCCCTGAAGATGATCTCAATAAAGATCGAAACGTTGGCACAATAAAGAAAATGTTTTTCTAAAACTTATGTCACGCCAGACCGCATCTCACGATCTTTGAATAATACTTATAGAAAAAGTTTTATTTATTTATTTATTTTTCATTATTAAGCAGAAAAAATCAGAGAATAGGATGAATTTAATCTGGGGGGAAAGGTAATGTAAAAAAAAGGCAGGAGCAATGGTGGGATTCGAACCTATTTCCGAGTCTACAAGCCAAGAGAAAAACTCACTATTCGTCGAGTATAAACCACTTGGCTACTGCGGTCCCAAACTTTACCACTAGTCTTAACATACCTCCTAGATGCCTTAGCAGTCTTCATTGTTGTCAATGTTGTATTTGAAGAGACAGTCAGTATCATCACTTTTTCATCTTAATCAGCGTTTTTCTTAATTGTTTATTAATTAGACTTTAAAGATCTACATGAATTCTCATTGTCTTGATAGGTTCTGTTCTCTCCTTTTTATTAAAAGTAAAGAAAAATATCTCAAATTAAAATTAAAAATTAAAACTTTTTTTAAGTTCTTGTTTCAAGAATGAACCAAATCTGAGCTATTAAATACAAAGTCAATATGGAAAAAAAACAAGTGTGCCTATTAATTTATTATGTATGCTAACAAACAACAATAACTATAAACAAAATTCAAGATATTGTAATTAATTAAAGGAGAGCTGTTGAAATTACAAAGATTACAAAGAAATTCTGAAAATTCTTCATGTGTGTATAATTTGGCTGCAAACTGTAACATTATTAACATTTGTAAAATGCTGTTGTCTAATAATTGTTTAAAACTAAAAAGTAAATTTGTTTTCAGAATCCAATTCAACAAAGTGCTTTTGCAATCTTTCAGTGAGAAAGTAAGTCCATAAAATTAAATAATTATTCTCCATTCACTCCTGTAATTCTTTGTTCATTTTGAAAATCAGGCTGGTCGTTAAGAAAGATGGCCCAAACAAGGGAAAGACATTTTTCTGCTGCCCCAAAGGTCAAAACGAGCCGAACAGATGTTCGTTCTTCTTGTGGGAAGAAGAGTCAAGTAACCGCCAGGATAGAGGTGAATATAGGAACAATCAACGTGGTAATTCTTCCTCGCGGACATCAAACTTCAGAGCCAGAACATCTGGTAAATATAAAGAAAAAATTTTCCTTAAACTTTCACCAATATTTTGCTTGCTTATTTGTTTTTTCAAGATTCCAATCAAAGAGGAAGGAAGTGTGGAATCTGCTCACAGACAGGTTAGTTTTATTCTAGTGTATTTGAATTGTTAATAAATATTAGATTATATAGAGTTAATGTTTCAAGGTATTTATTAAAAATAAACTTATTTTCATTTGGTTATATATTTTAAAATAATAAATTCATTTTACAGGTCATACAAGAAGAAATTGTCCGAATAACTCAAACAACTGATTTATTAAATGTAATGTAAATATTGTACACAAAAATGTATATAACACAATTTAAAAAAAAAATACAAGTATTTTTACATGTCTGTTAAATTTATAGATTTTTATAAGAAAATAAGCTTTTGACATAATTTATTTAGACAATTATATTCAACACACTGTCTGGGCAGATGTTACTTTCTGTAGCTGATATTTATTAACAATTGAATCACTGCATTCATCCTCCTCTTCTTCTTCAGTTTTCTCTTCATCTGTCAGTTTTTGATCTTCTTCGGCTTCGCTTGAATCTTCGGACGTCTGCTCAGAATCCGATTCTTTATAAAGGACGTCAGTAATACCCATTTTCGATGTGATGAACATTTGAAGTTCACGGATTACTTTTTTCCTTTTGTTGCACATTGCAGTGGCCTGTGTGAGCTGAAATGTATAAATTTATTTAATAATTTTATAAATTGGTAAATAATAACTATTAACTTAATTCTTTACCATGTCTAACAACACCTCGACTTTCATAGTCAGTAGGTTGTTTTCTTCCTTCAATTGTTGTGCTTGTTCTTGAAGATCTGAAAAGTCCTGATGTATACCTTTCGATAGGTTTGTTGGTACTGAAAAAAAATCTTAACATTAAGTGTAATTTTTTAAAACATTGAAGGAAATTGTAGACTTTTTAGACTACTAGAGTAACAATAATATTTCTCATATCTTTTTCGCTATAATATTATTTAATTATTGTTAAATCACTACTATAACAAAAATCTGTATTTGTTCTGAAATAGTATTAAATTTAATGTGTCATAAGCCCTATAGGCTAGCCAAATTGTGAATGTATACAACTGTCAATATATTTTTTCATGATACATGATTTCTCTCAAGATCAAAAGTGATTTTTTTCCATTTGGTGCATTAATTAAAAAAAGTAAATTTGGGGTGGGAAAAAAACAGTCAGCATAAGAAAAGAAAGTGTTAAGGCATTGACATCATGTCATTTCTGGAGGGTCCAAGGTTTGAATCTAAGTGACCCTAAATTCAATTTTTTTGTTTTAACATTGCAACTCTTGGATTGATATGATCTCTGCAGTGGCAGTCCCACATATAAAAAATATTTTTAAAACACTCCCTTTTTTATTGTTACTCTTTGTTTTTCAACATCAAAAGATTTGAAGAGAACATATATGTTACTCTGTTCGACTCTTGAACTCTAGGGTGAATTATTCTCTCCCCAGGTTAAATTTTTCTCAAACATTTTGGCATTATGCCATCTTCAGTGGGAAACTGCTCTTTATGTATGCACTTCCAGATCAACAACCACCCTTGAGAATTGTAGAGGCAAGAAAGTAGTCTTAATAATGCCAAAACTTATAAAGGTTATACTTTGCTGAATCACTTGTTTTAAATATGTAATAGCGGTGGACTAAAGTACTAATCACCTTGTATTTAAGTTAGTTGAATAATTTGTAGGGAGGCTTATCAAGTACCCCATCAATCTACTGGAGTGACAAGAACATAGGAAAGAATATATCAAAGAATTTACAAGAGAATGGATTAAAGCTTGCAGTTCGGACTAAGATTCTTGATTTGTCTAGTCACTTGTTAAGTTCCAATCCTCAGGTTTTCAATCTCATTTATGTTCTGGGTGCTGCACATTTGGGAACCCTCAATGTGTGTTGACCTTGTTCTTTCCAGACATTTGAGATATGTTTTGAACCAATAATTCACAAAAGAAACAATCATTAGTGTCTGTCGTTGTTTGGCTCTCTGAGAGTCACTTTTCATTCAAATGCTACTCCTTTTTGTTCTTTTTTAGTTGATTGTTTCTCATTCGGATTGATAAAGAAATTATCAACTGACTCATCAACCTTTTTGTTTATTTATTAATGCTGATGCATTTTGGGGCCAATCTACCTCCTGTCTGCAAGGCTCTAGGCGTTATAATGTGATCCATGTATGTTATAGCTAGGAGCCTTGGAGTGTGGATATTTGCATGCAGTTGCAAAAAACCTAGGTGCAGCAATCGTCACAATTACTTGTTTTTCTATTTTTAAGTCTGGCAAACTGAATTTGTTTACACTTTACACTATTTACAAAAGAAACAATATTAAATTAGACGTAATATACTAATTGCCACTAGTAGATAAATACTCAGTGCATTATGTTTTGCAATTAAAATGGTTGCCACAGTTAATTTTGATTCAACATATACTCAAAGACAAAAACTGTACTTTGTAGTTTATTTCAAACTAAATGTATATATTTTAAACCAAATTAAACGAGATCAGAAATATTCATGAGTTTTAATCAAAATTGTTTAATTATGATAATTTGAAAGAAGACCAAAATGCTGGGAAATCATTGAAAAAGTTGATTAAATTAACTCTGCTGTTAAATGATTTTCTGGTGTTTTGATGAATTTTCTTTCATCATAATTAAATAATTTTTATTAAAGCTGATGAATTTCTGATCTCATTTAATTTGGTTTACATTAAAATATGTATGTTGAAATAATTATAATGCTAAAATACATCCATATAGTTTGAAATAAATAACAAAATATGACTTTGTGTGTGTGTCTTTGTATGCATAATAAACTAAAGATCTTTAAACTTTAGTAATAGTATGGATGGAAAAAAATCTACTTTTTCCATGGTGTTTGATGTATTCACATATTTATATTATCACAGATATTTTGCTTTTGCACAATTTTGTTTGAAAATGTTTTGAGTGTTGTGTGATTCATCGGTTCAACTACTGTAAAAAAATATATTTTTAATAAAATTGAACATTTACAATGAATAATTTTAAGACCAAAACATTTGAACAAAAAACAAATTAAAAAATGGCATCTTACGCATTTCGTTAACTTCTGTGAATCATTTTGAGCTAACATTAAAAAAAAAAAAATGTCATACTTAACTACTCATAACATATTGCTAATATAGTGATTATTACATCTATAAAAAATTAATTCAATTAAAATAACAAAAAAAACATATGTGCAGTATCTGATGAATAGGATGAAACTAACGTGACATCCATTCGCCTTTCATGAACTCAGCCGAATTTTCACCAAGTTTGATGATTATCGTGTCCTTTTCCCCCTTTTTGTCGGCTGTCTTGTTTTCTGTGGAGTGAAAGTTTAACTTCTTCCTCGGAGTCGGCTTCGGATGCTGGAACTTGTTGGAGAACAGTTGCAATGGCATGTTTTTTTTTAAATCTTAAAACAAAACAATTAAAATTGCCACATTTTAATTAGTAAACTATATAATGGACTAACGTTTCAGCTTTGGACTAATAAACTATTTCTACTACTACTAGTAAACCAAAATCATGGAAAAAGGGCAGAGCAGGAAAGCTGAATTTGAAAGTTTGTAGTTATGTCACCTTGGACACGAGCTGCGCTTGCGCTGTCGTGAATAACAAAAAGTTTAAAAGTATTGTTGTTCATTTAACAATAAAATAAATGATTACTGGCTTCTTTTTTTATATTTTAACATTTTTTATTTCTCAATCGGACCGAGCGAATTTTTTTCGTTTTTCGTGGTGTTTGAGAAAATGTCAGCGATTAAGTGTGTTCACCATTCCCAATTTGTAAGGGAGGAGATGAAAAGTCTATCGAAATTTCCAAGTCTCTCGAAACCTCTTTGTAACTCCCAACAGGCGGTTGGGCTAAGTCTCGAAGTCCCTCAAATCTTTCGAAAATCAGGGTCGTTTTAAGTCCGTAGAATAAACAGAAATACAATAAATCAAAAAACCTCCGCCGTGGATCGATCGGCGAGGTAAAGCTTAATTGACTTGTCATGTTGCTTTCAACTTGATCAGTGACTTACAAAGTGCCTTGACAATGGCACTCCCAGGATTGGGCAGGTGAAGTCTCGACGGTTCCTCCTGTTCGGCCTTTTTTTTTTACATCTTTTTTCAATCTCTTTTACAGAAAACGTTACAGGAACAGCTGCGACGACGAAGTCAGCGAATTCGCTCCTTTGTCAAAAAGGATAAATAACTTGCACATCAACAATGGCACTATAAATAATCTAGGAAAGAACCTGGAATCAAAAACGGTTTGTAGCATCAGTCCCTAATACACTCGACCCTGTTCCAACGTTAAATCCTGATATAATTTAACTTAAATCAATATTTCATTCAAGAACTAATTAGGCTTAAGATGTGTCACAGCCCTCACGAAAACAGTAAATAGCCTTGTTTCATACAACTCATTCTGTATTTCAGCATTAATTATAACACTTTCAAAGTAAACAAATCAAATGAAATATGACCTGCAGTGAACAAATTAAACATCTACTTTGATCCTTGTATATTTTCACTGGTTTGGTCTGTAAGACACACTTAAGATTGTGAAATGCCCAAACCCGTCTGAGAGACCTACCCACCAAGGATAAGCAGACCAAGATGTTTGGTAAGGATCAAATTACAGGTTTATTTCTCTGCAGACTAGGAGGAAGTCTTATGAAACATTTTGGTATCAACCTAAAGCTGGATAATCTCCGATCCGATCTATTTATTCATACTGATTTTGTCTGTTAGGGATATAAAAGAGGCGACTACAAGGCCTATGACCTGAAAAGATCTATTGTGCTCTCCTGTTATTTATAACTCAATGGCAAGCTTCAGGTTATTAACCAACCTCCACAGCTTTCAGGCGGCTCCTTGGTGTAGGATCTTGCTTATGTTTTTTCTTGTCCTAGTTGCAAGAATTTGCACCTACATAGACCTTCACAGAAACTAAAATGTTAAACTAAAACTAATAAGATGTGTTTTATGGTCTCCTCTTCTTGCAGTATCTGCACAGTGTTTCTTCTGTCTGTATGTGCTTTCTTAAGTGGCAGTGCGGGGGCCGCGGTAGCCGAGTGGTTAAGGCGTCAGACACTTGGCTAGTAGATCCCGCGGTCGTGGGTTCGATCCCCACCGTCGCCTCTGGACTTTTTCTGACGCCTAAGGGGACCGGTGGCTGCAATTGAAATAAATTGACATGGCACTCATCAATGGAAGGGGCGGGATCGGATCTCAGGGACCCTGAATTTGGTCCCAACCCCCTTCAAAAATGAGTTTCTTCGATGGAAGAACAGTACAGCGGGGCTCAACTTCACATTTGTATTGCGAGCCCCCCCCCCCCAAAAAAAAAAAAAAAAAAAATATGGAGCCAGGGATAAAGTACAATAAGCTGTACAGCTGCAGTTCTCAGGAGGGAACTCCTCGAGTCCCTAGTATCGAAAAAAAAAGTGGCATTGCCCTATCAGGAGTCCAACGAGAATCCTGATTCAGTTGTTGTTGCCTTTCAGCAATTCTTTTGTATGTTTTACAGATGGTCCATTTATGGCTCTCTTCTATGATTCTAATCTACCTGTTTTGAACTCATTAAGGATCCATTTTAAGATGTATCCTCATTTGTAGCAAGCTGTTAAGCCGCAGTAGGATTCTGGGCTCAGAGAGTCCATGATGGCCCCCTTTTTGGCCAACATGTCAACCTTTTTGTTGCCTCTATGCACAGTATGTCCAGGGAGATTTTGTTAGACCCAGTAAACAATCTGCAGTGGTTAATCTGGTACTTCAAGACCCAAAACACACGAGATTAGTCAATATATCCTAAGGCTGTTTGAATCTAACTGGGATGACCGTTTTAGTATAAGTTCAAGGAGGGATAAACCACAGTGGAAGTCAAATGTTTTGTTTGCTTCGGTATGCTCTGTCAGTCATTGCTAGTGTTGTTTTGTGAGCACCAGTTTGCTTCACACAACCAAATAAACAAGCATGTATTACAAATTAGTCCAAGTACCACACCTTTGAAGAAATGACTGGCAGCTGCTATTGACAAAGTTGCAGGCTCAATGATTCATTTTCTGCAGTTTAGAACAAAACCAAAGGAGCCAGAAAACCCCATGTACACATACACATAACTATACACACATCCATGTACATTCAGTATGTACAATATTCATTATGTTCATATTCATGTTCATTATGTCTCTTAAGAAACGGAACAGAGGACCCAACATTGACCCACCAGCCCAAGTACAATATGTATGTCAGGGGTCTGCCTGCTCGCTCCTTGTAAAGGGCCAAGGCCTGGCACTCTTTGATCAGATGTGAAACACTGAGCAACCTTTCTCTACAATCGGGACACCTGCGCAGATTTTGGCCCAAAAGCAGGTGTCCATGTGTCAGACTGGTATTACCGATCCTCATTCAAATTAAAGCGATATTTTCCTTTTGATTCAGACTTGGGGGTGCCATCGTTCAGTTGTGCTCTTAACCCTTGGTAGAGATGCTGTGGTGAACACAATGTGGCTAATACTGCCGGGATGAGTACAGTCAGAGGACCCAGGGCGGTGTTGGTCTATTTCCCAGCACAGGTACCGTCGCCAGTTAAACCTACCCTTCCAAAGCAAATTCATAGTGGTCGCATTTAAGTCCGAAGTTGCTTGTTGACTTATTTTTTAGGATCATGTCGGTCAGAAGGTAGACACCCCAGGTTGGTCAAGAAACCTGCTGCATAGTTGAGAGTAAGCTGCTCTCTACGGAATTTGGGCAGCAACACTCGCAGTAGCAGAAGCTGGTTAGTTTCCAGGTCGAGGAATAGGCCATACAATTATAAAACAGCCACACTTTGAATATTTTGAGCATGATCTTCCGATCCACTCCCCACTTGAAATTACCAGGGTATCTGATTAAGCCAAGGGTCTTCTTGTACTGGACCTTGTTAGCTTTGATGTGCGACTGCCACCTTAACTTTTCATCAAATAAAATGCTTAGGAATTGCATTTTCTCCATGCCTCCCAAGCAGTTGTGAGTTATGAGCCCTCCTCAATCTGCACAAGTGGATGCACATGGGTCTTTGATGAGGAGAATGTAAATTTGGCTTCCTCAGCACTTGCAGCAACACATTGATCACTGATTACATCACCCTACTTACCTCCATTGAGTCAAATCAGCCTGTACCTCGTAGCCAGACATGGGTCCCTGCCGTCCTTAAGTAAGGATAGGTACAATAAGTGCTTCTCACCAATGATGAGGATAGGAACCCGTATCCCATATGGTGTTGAAAAATTTCCACATGCAATGCTTCGCACCCTGATGAAAGTGGTGAATTATGACATATGGGATACCGTTGCCTCAGACTGGAATTCCAGGTGCGACCCAAGGCCAACTCCAACTCACTCATCGGACGTTCGCTCTAGTATTGCCAAAAAAGTCGATCTCAGTTTGTTCCGTTTCATGCTTGAGCTCTCGAAACCGAGCACACCTTGATCAGTGTACGCAACTGAGCTGGAGATGGCAGCAAAGTGCCGAACAAACTCTTCATTCACACTCCTACTTTCCATGACCAATATTGGCACCAATGGAGTCTTGTACTAGCCAGAGGTGGCTCTGACCCTGTTCCAGGCATCTCTAACAGGAATGTTAAAGGCCAGATAAATACTTTTCCATATAATCCCTTTTTGATTGTGAAAGAGCACACCTCTCTCTCTTGCCCTATTGAATTTAAGTCTTGTTAGATTTTCCTCTGTCGGGTGCCTTTTGTAGTGCCAGAATGCCACTTCATCATGATATCTGTGGTCTGGAAGTAGTTCCATTTCATTCATATTCAGTCACAATTAAACATTTAGTTTCAGTTTGCTTAAACTAAATTGACTAATCCGGCGTGTATTGGGCTTAACACGTGAAAACCATGCACTTTAAATTGTTTACTTGCTTTGATTTTGCTCATTGATTGTGCACATTTTAAAATCTAATCAATGGGAATACACAGATCATGTTGATTTATCAATTGCATCAAACTTTGCAGCAACAGGTGCATATGGTGTGATTTAGTATTTTCATCGTAGGCAGAAAGTTCAAATTCAGTAGTACTGTGAAACCTCTAATAACAGACTCCTACGTTTTCAGGACAGTTACAGATCCACCGGAATAGATGATTTATTTTCTGTCTTTAACCCCTCTACTTAGAGGACACTAAATAAAATTACACTGCCATGTTGTCCTACAGGGAACAGGCCAGAGTAGTTTTTCTTTTTTTTCTTAGGCTGCATAAATGATCTCCGAATAATGTAATCTCCGTGTAATCGCTATATTAGCGGCAATTAGAATATTACTACTTTTACCTTTGTTAAATAAACCAAACCTGCCCAACTCAAAATATTACCCCTTAAGAAAAATATTCTTTTGAACTTTTTGTTTCACTTGGTTATTATTAACATGAATTGGGGCCAAACCAGCTGAAGAACCATATATTTTTACTATGACTTCTAATTATGTTTACAATTATTGATCACTGTACTCAAGGTATTTCCATTAAATTGTTAACTTTTCCTCTCCCCACATTCAAACTTACTTCCATTATTGTCTTCATTTCCTAATTTCAGTTAAAGAGGACAAAAGTAGTGACCCCATGACTATCCATTAACAAGGGGCATCACTGTAATTTGATGTAATCCATAATCTTGATATGCCAAAACATTTCAGACAAACAAAACAAGCAAAAATAGAATGACCTGGATCATCACAAGTGATGAAGTTATAATTAAAATGAATTAACCTAATAAAAAGTCTAGAAATATGAATGTGAAACAGAATACAGAAAGATCTTAAACTTATTTTTTAAACATTATATAAACTTTTTTAACCCACACATGAATTGATTTAAATGGTTTAATATTACAATGGCCAAGTCGATTCACTATTGTCACCCGCACCATGGATGAAGTGATATCCACATGGTGGGATGATAATCACATTCAATGTGTTAATTTTTTAAAAATTTAGTATGGTTTGTCTAAAATCCTGTTTAATTGATAACGAATTTTCAGGAAGCTCATAGAGATATAATTGTCAATAACGAAAGACTATCAACTCAAGATTATGAAGATTCCCGGAACATGGATGGTGAATCGAGCGGAAGCCAGCAACTTTGGTTGCCTCACTATAGTCCTGATCTGAGCCCCTCACAAAATCCGTATTATTACGAGTCAAATCGACTGCTGTTCGAGTTGTACATTCAGAGATCTCAAAGATCCAATGGCGCATCTTCGTCAAACCAACACCAACACCATTATTAATATAAACCTGAGATGTGTAGATAATTTATTTATTTATTTATTCCAAAATTAAAAAATGTAATTTTTTGCTAATTGTTATTAGCATGTATTTATTTTCATACCTTTTACACAATCTACCCGTCCTCTACTTTCATTTTGTGAGTCTGTAATTCAATTTCTCAAACACAACCCAATTGGAACAAAGTTGAAGGCTTTAAGATCTTGAAATTTGGTCTTTAATGAATCATTTAATTCTGCCTATCCTCACTGATATGTTTGAATTTTTACCGTATAGTGTTGTAGTTGAATTACCAGTGGTAACTTCTTATTTGGCAAGAATTTTTTTAAAATAAAAACCATGTTCAAATCATTAGGATTTAAAGAAGGAACAGTGATGGAAGTCCGTTTTAAAATTATTTTACAATTAATTAAGGTTTTCAGTTGAGATAAAAAAGTCAATGGCACGAGCGGGATTCGAACCCATGATCTTTGGCTTGATACGCCGCTGCTCTACCACTTGACCTGTCGTGACCTCGATCCACTCAAGTGGTAGAGCAGCAGTGAATCAAGCCGAAGATCGTGGGTTCAAATCCCGCTTGTGTCATTGACTTAATATAAGATTTGTTCTGATTGCCTTTTATACACCCAAAGTCTCAAAGTTTTCATTAAAAAAAATAATAATTTATTATAATTATATTCCCAGATAGAAATGACTTATGAATTTCTGTAATGTACAATAAAACAATAGATTTAAAGTATGACAGGATTTTCTGGTGCTTTGGCAAATTTTCTTTCAAACCTTAAAAATTAAATCTTTTTTGTTAAAACTCGTGAATTTCTGATCTCGTTTGATTTGGTTTGCATTAAAATAAGTATTTTAACAATAAAAAAACATAGTTTGAAATAACCAACAAAATATGGTTAGAATTGGTAAAAGGGTGAGTATATTGTTTAATCTCTTTTACAGAGATTACTAAATACAAGTGTCTGGTTTTTCGGAGTATATAATTATAATAAATTAATTTTATGGTTTTTTAAAAATAAAAACTTTTCCAAGTGTTTTTTTGTTTTATTTTTACACTAAATTTTCTGGGAGTTTCAGGAATTTACACCCAAATTTAAATTTTTCATTATATATAGTTTTTTCTCGCAGTCCACCAGTAATTCAAGCTTTTGTAATTTACAGTAGATTACTGGTAGGCATCGAGAATAATCATTTTAATTCTATCGCTGCTTAGCAGAATATAAGATTTGTTCTGATTGCCTTTTATACACCCAAAGTCTCAAAGTTTTCATTTAAAAAATAATAATTTGTTATAATTATATTCCCACATAGAAAAAAAATGAGCTCAGAAATTCATGAGTTTTAATAAAATTATGAATTTCTGTAATATACTATAAAACAATAGATTTAAAATTTAACTAACAGTTATTCTAGTACCATAGGAATTTCTGGTACTTTGGCAAATTTTCTTTCAAGCCATAAAAATTAAATATTTTCCATTAAAACTCATGAATTTCTGATCTCGTTTAATTTGGTGTGCATTAAAATAAGTGTGTTAACAGTAAAAAACATAGTTTGAAATAACCAACAAAATACAGTTAGAATTGGTAAAAGGGTGAGTATATTGTTTAATCTCTTTTAAAGAGATTACTAAATACGACTATGGTTTTTCTGAGTATATAATTATAATAAATTAATTTTATGGTTTTTTAAAAATAAAAACTTGTCCAAGTGTTTTTTGTTTTATTTTTACATTAAATTTTTTGGGAGTTTCAGGAATTACACCCAAATTTAAATTTTTCGATACATATAGTTTTATCTCGCAGTACACCAGTTTAGGCTTTAATTTACAGTAAATTACTGGCAGGCCTCGAGAATAATCGTTTTAATTCTACCACTGTTTAGCAGAATTGATTTGTTCAGATTGCCTCATATACAGCCAGTCTCAGTTTTTATTTTTAAAAAAATTATTATTTATTATAATTATATTCTCAGACAGAAAAAAATGAGCTCAGAAATTCATGAGTTTAATAAAATCACGAATTTTTGTAATATACTATAAAATAATAGATTTAAAATTTGACTAACAATTATTCTAGCACCATAGGATTTTCTGGTGCTTTGGCAAATTTTCTTTCAAACCTTAAAAATTAAATCTTTTTTGTTGAAACTCGTGAATTTCTGATCTCGGTTTGCATTAAAATAAGTATGTTAACGATAAAAAAAACCTAGTTTGAAATAACCAACAAACAAAATATGGTTAGAATTGGTAAAAGGGTGAGTATATTGTTTAATCTCTTACAGAGATTTCTAAATACAAGTGTCCGTTTTTTTCTGAGTATATAATTAAAATAAATTAATGCTTATGGTTTTTTTAAATAAAAACTTTTCCAAGTTTTTTAAAATAAATTTTTTGGGAGTTTGGGGAACACACCCAAATTTAAATTTTTCATTATATATAGTTTTTTCATTGAAATATGATTTTACATTGACAAGAAAAAACCCCTCAAATTATGAATATAAAAAAGGCAGTACATTTAAAAAAAATCCATGTTACATAATAAAAATTTTATTAATGTTTTTTTATTGCTAAACTCTATAAGTTTTAAATAATTATTTTTCATTTAACTCACAACTCTTACAGTTGTGCTTTACTTTCTCAACTAATTTTTCTTATTGAATGTATGTTTTATTACAAACGTATAATTTAAGTTATAGTTTTTCCTATGGGCAAGTTTAAATTTTTTTATTGCAAAATGTATATTGTATTTTGGGCTTCTGCCCATTTGAATAATTACATAAAAATCAAATAAATCAACTTCTGCTATTAAATCATAGCTTTATTAAAACAAGTAATATTTTTTAAGTAATAGATTTTTTAAAGAGTAATAGAGCATGTTTTAATAGATATTTTTTGTTCATTCCAAGTAGATGGGCGTCGACCTGTGGAGTTTTTGAATACGGTTTTGAATTGAAAGTAACACGGTTGGATTGGTCGTTCTCCGTTGTTGGTGAGGTGAACGTACTGTTGAAGTAGGCGAGCCTTTGGTGACAAGATCGTTGTATATTTCGCCGTTGGAGCCTCGCGTCCTCTCGTGTCTCCGTTCCAAACCAAAAAGTGAACATTAGCGACTCCAAAGGCAGGTGTTTTGTGGTTTGTTGTCAGTTCTTGGAATACCGAACCTTTTTTTTCTCAAAAAGTTAAGCTACTTTTCTAAAAGTGAAGGCGATTTTTCAATAATCGGCAAACGTCTGAAGATGTGGAGAGAGCCGCTGAGGTGATCCGACGAAGTTAGTGCTCTTGAGTTTTGTGCTGTGTCGGAACGAAATAAGTGGATAAACCATTCCTCCGTCTCTGACCCTATTTTGGGGTTCACCGCTTTTCTAGGCTATGCCAGCTTACCTTATGAACGTTTATACATGATTTATATATTGAAATACAAGCAAACTATTTGTCGGATTACGTTTTAAAACGGTTTTTAACCAGGAGTTTTTCATTATATACGATTATTCCACCCGTTTAAAATGGACGTTTCCTCCTCTTGTAGATGACAGTTCGTGTATGAAATGAGAAAGTTGGCTTTCATTAATTTTAGGTAAGTAGGTCTTCCAACATCCTGGTTTTTTCTACAATGTACAATTTCATTTTCGGATTTAGTTGGATTTTTCAATTTTTATATTTACCCCGGAATCTGTGTTTCGACGCACGGGATAAATACGGCGCTAACGAAGCGCTGACTCTTGTATGAAAATATATTGAAATAGTCTCCATTGCCTTAACCTTGGCATAGAACACTGGGTTTGGTCCATGGGTTTTCAATATTTATTTTTCAATTTATTGGAAATTTAACCGTCTCCATTAAAAAAAATATATATATATTTAAACAATAATTAGTAATTATACGTAATGTGAAATTTTATAGCGGTAAAAAATCACGGAAAAAAATAAAAATAAAAAGTTCAAAATCAAAATACACAAAAATTTATCCTACAGTACTCAAGAAAATGTTTTCAGTAATACAAATGAAATTAATAACAATATAAGTAATTCTTATTATATATTTTGTATCCAAAATAAATACAGAAAAATAATTAACGATATTTAAAAACAAATAGAACCATGTTTCAAATTATTCAAATTTAATTAACTTTCAAATTAGAACAATTCATTTTGGGAGGGAGTTAGTTTGCTTTGTTTATTAGCGGAGAGGGGTTGTATTTAAAAAAAAAAATTCAAATATAAAAATTTACATATAACATTGATATTTAAAAAAATATATATTTTTTATGTGTTACAGGTGTCAATTTAATTTGGGAGCCTAGTTTTTCTTTCTTTTTGAATTTTTTTGTTTTCGACGAAACAAGAAAAAAAAAGGGAAGCTTTCATCTTACTCAGTAAGAAAGTCTGTGACGAGATGAATTTCACTCCATTTGGTACTACGTTCAGTGGCGCTTTGCCAACGACAGGCGGTGCGGTGGCACAGTTCACGACGGCTAAGTTTGCTCACCAGGTCGGAAGCGGAGGTGGGCAGGTCGTCGGGCTCTTGTCGTCGGATGATGCCGGGGTCACGTATCTCAGACCTGTTGACGCCAACGGTTTCACATTGAACCTCGCCCAGCAGTCAACTGGGAACAACTCGGACAACAACCCCCAGGTGAGTGTCACCCGTTTAACCAATTTTAATGTTGTACAATTGTACTATTTAAATTATAAATATGGTACCACAATGAAGATTATTTAATGTTTCCATGATAAAGTTACCGTTTCATCGTTGGTTTTACGATCAGGTAAGAGTTTGCAAGATGGGCATTTAAATAAAACTAGCTTTATCATTGAACAGAAACATCAAATAATAATGATGACGGGAGCCAGATTGGCTCCAAAATTCATCGGCATTAATATAAATTGTTTAAAGCAGTTCGCTATTTATTTGTCCAAATCTATCAATCGAAAAAAGATAACTGAAAAAGGAATATGAGTAGCAAATAATAATAATAATCATAATAACAACACTTCATTGAAAAACTATTAATAATACATAATACAATGTACATGAACAGTTAACTGTAATGGAAACGAAGAGGAAGAAAAACCTTTTTTTTTTTTTTTTTTAAATAATAACAACTTAAAGGGGCTTCAGTGACCTCAACGGTTAAAAGGTGTTGACACAGCTCTCATCACTGTAAGGTAAAGGCTCTGGGTTAAAATCTAGTGACCCCTGCATACTTACAAATGCCAACCTCCGAGGGTTGATATGACCTCTGCTGTTGCAAATCTTTGTTTAAAAAATAAATGAGTTCTCAACTGTATACCAGGCATGTTATGCAAATTTTACAATCTGCAGGTTCTTGATTTCATTTAAAAGTATGAAATGTGAATCTCTGACAAGGTGGTACTTTTATCAAAAAAATGTTCAATAATTTTTTTTCTCAAACATTACATAGAGTAGCTTAGTCCCTTGGCATTAATCTAGTGGAATTTAAAAACACATGTTCATCGCGTAGTTTGAAAAGCCAGCGAAGATCCCTTTAATTTCCTCTCCTTTTTTCCCCTCTGTTTCTCACCCTTTAAATTGATTTAACACATTTAATGTTGATGCTTCTGTCAAGCATTTTGTATAATATAAACCTCTTAGTTCAAACCTAAAGGAGATATTTCACAGTTTATATAAATCGCCTATAAAATAATAAACAAAAAGACATTCATTGTTTATCATTTGTAGTTATTTAATGACTAATAGTATACTTTTTTCTTCTAAATAATGAAATTTTATCACATTCCAATGCATATTTTCAACTAAAGTAGTTTCAACACTTACTTTTTCTAGAATAGGGCACTTTACAAGTTTCATTATACAATAAAACTTAAAATTCAGATATCATTTTAAGTTCACTAAAATACTCACTATTCAAGTTTTTCCCCATAATTTTTTAAGGGGAAGTTGTTTTATTCATCAAATTATTAGTTCAAATATTTTTAAAAATTTTTGAACACCCCACAGAATGCCCACATGATGATTGATATTAATATAATTTATTGATGTTAAAACAGCAAGCACAGAATGTCATTTTTTCTCATTTTTTGTACAAGATAGTGATCATAAATGTTCTAAAATTAGAACTGTAAGCAATAAACACCACAGTATCCAAGGTTAATTATTTTCCCTTTGATCGGTACTGCTTCCATCGTATGAGTTTGAATAGAAATGCACAATGGGTTGGCAGGTTTTCTGACTTAGTGACAATTCACATTCACACAATGTTTCCACAGTATATCTGTTTGTTTAGTTGAGTTTTTTAAATATAATTTTTTGTGCAATTCAAGATAAATATAACCATAATTTGTTAAAGCAAAATTATGATGTATTTTTTAAATAATAGCTTTTTCTTCATTTTATATTCCAAATAAGTTTTTCTTGTCAACTTTTCTATGTCACTTCTTTAAAAACTGGTCAATTTAGAAAGTGAAAGTCAAGAAATATATTTTTAGGTTGGATTGTTCATTTCAAGTCAGGCTAAATTTAGAATTTATTTGTGTACATTTTCATTCTTATATTGTACATTCTAACATATTTAATATTTATGTTCACAAATTAGGATCTATTAAACAGTGGCTAAATATGCCTTAATATTAAGGTTTTCTAATTTAAAAGCAACTACTTGTAAGTAATAACAAATAAATTATTCTACAATTCTAAAATAAAGATCAGCAAATGCAGTTTGTCGAGTTGTTTCCAGAATAATGTGCTAAATCCATGCCAAGAAAGAGAAAGTTACTCACATCTCTCTTAAGCCTTGCCTGAGGAAATTCACCTTCATTCGCTTGCAAATTGGTGGGGAAAAAAGAAAAGAAAGTTTCTGTTAATAAAATATGGGATTTTCCATTACTGATGTACTTACAAGACTTATTATATTTTTATTTAAAAAAATCTCTGATAACTTTTAGTATCAGCATTTCACTAATTTTCTGGTCGTAGTTAATTTTTCCTTTTTAGGGTAGGGATGTAGAGTAAAATATGCTCATCTGATCAGAAAAAATTAAAATTGTTAAAAGAAAATTATTATCCTACAAGTCAAATCCAATAAAACAACAATTTTATAAATATTATTTAAAAAAAAAGAGCAAATAAAATATTCTTAGCATAAAATATTCTTAGGGTATGTTTTCTATGCATGCATCAGTCTGCTGGATTGTTCCTTGTTTTTCTAATGTCGCCCGTACAACAAAACAAAAAGGTTGTGTAAATTTGTCACAACACACATTTATTTTTGAATTTTATTTCCAATATTTATTTAGTTATATAGCTAGCCTTTACCCGTAACCTTGCCCACGCAGGAGACTGTTTTAATGTACCTTTCTAATGAAGTGCAAGCTAGTACGGCTTTTTAATATAATGTCATGTTTCTCAAATAATTCTCTTCTTCAGTTCACTTTGGTCTACACATGGTAAACAATTGTCCGTAAGATCCCCTGAGGGATGGAATTTCAAAAAATCTTTCTCATCAGCTATCCATGTCATTATGGGAATGCACAATCAAAATTTCACCCCTTTAGATCCAGCAGTTTGGTGTGTGCGTTGTCTGTCAGTCAGTCATGAAATTTTTATACATATAGAGTAATATAAAGAATATAATTTTTGTCTACATAAATTTAATGTGAAGAAGTAGTTATTTGTGTGCTTCCATATAATAATTAGCAAATAAGTAAACTTACCAACAAAATTTTTATTTTGTTTTGTTTATTTAACCAATTGTACAATTATTAAACTACAATTTACTGTATTAGTCTGTTTTCCCTGAAGAAAATTTTTTAAATGATAAGGTTTCTGATCTGTTTGCTATATATACTTATTTTATTTGCCAGACTTCTAGAAACAGAGCTTGTAGTTGGTTTTTATACTTTGAAAAACAAAAGATAATTTCAAATTCTTGTCGAGGATAATTTAATAATTATCCCGATAATTTGGGTTAAGGTTGATTGCTCTTTCAAATGATTCCCATGCTAATGAGTCTGGATTTCTTTGTTTCACTTGTTCACTGTTATGCCATACCAAGGAAAAAGGATTATACAATGTTGTTATTTTATTTAGTGTTAATTAAAAAAAAATCTTTGTATGACAATTGATTTATCTCTATAAACCATATACAAATTTTAAAATCATATATCGCTTATGCAATCTTGTTTGAATAAGAACAAAAATATATTCTGTTAGACCATATGGAGGAGTTAATTAGTAGTGTACATCTGTTTTATTTTAAAACAATTATTTCTATTATAGGAATGATGTAATTTCTGTTCCTGATGGGTCATCGACCTGAAGCCTTGTTTTATGTGCTTCAGTTTTTGGCTGTCCTTGACTTGACATCACCTGTTTTATTCAGGTGAAATCCTGAAACTTTAAAATTGATTCAGGTTTTTCAGGAAAATCAGCTCTGCTAAAAATAATGTTTATTTTCCTTTTAAAATTTTTACAATTTTTGGTTTTACATTTTTTAAATGAAGGCATTGTTAAGTTGTTTACAAACTTCAAATTGTGCTGTTTATTCAAAGGAAATTAATACAGACACTTTCTGTACTTTAGCAAGATATGTTTTTATAAATAAATAACAATTTATTAATGTTTAATAAAAGTGAATGGTTCACAATCTACAAATGCCCCTTTATTAAATCTTTTTCTATTTATATATTTATGATTTTTTTTTTGACAGACAGAAAATATATGTTCAATTTAAAAAAGTGTTAATTTTTCCCTCTCAGATTATCACACTTCCTATAAGTGTGCCTGGTGCTAAACCAGGGGATCTTCCTCAGCAGCAAACCCTTCAGATACAGGTTGTAAATCCAGGAGGCGGAGCTGGAGGCGCGGGTGGTGAGAAATACACAGCAGTGCCGATATCGATACAGCCCTTCCAGCAAGGAGGAGCGACAGTCCTTACAGTTGCGTACAGCAATGCTCATCAAGACCAGGGAGACGCCATCCAATTGCAGGTTGGCATTCTTTTCCACCTAAATAACAATCCTAAACAAATCTTTTCTGCATGATATTTTACTAAATGTCATATAAACAAATAAATTATTCAAGCAAACTTGTGTAAATAATAAGAATTGGCCTAAGACTTGCCATAAAGAGCTGAGAAATAATATAGATTTTTTTTTAAAGCATGATTTAAATCAGTTAATTTAGAGTTTTAGGTTCCTTTGCATGATTTAATGCTTTTCTTGTTCATAGGCTACATAACGCTAAAAAATTAAACAAGTCCAATTTTTTTTTCTCAGCTCCAGACGGCAGATGGCGAGCATGTAAATCAGCAAACTAATAATAACAACAACAGCTCTTCAGGCAACAGTGGAGAAGCTACATCACAAACTACAATACATTCTGATGAAATTGTATGTATTTCTTTGCCTTTTTATTCCCACTTATTTCTCTCAATTTTTTATTAATGTCCCTTAATTTATAAATTGCAAATACAAATTGATATTTTTTGTTTGTTTACATTAACACACAGGCATGTTCTGTTTGTTATTTTAAGTTTCCACTAAACACTTTTTTGTTTTCCTACAACGCTTACAGACAAACTTGAATAAGCTGGAGCCAAAAGTAAATTTCGTGTTAACATTTTCTGTGGTTATAGAATTCTCTTGTTAACTTCTCTTATTTTTGTCGATTTCAAAATACCTATTTGATTAGATGGCTCCTTGCTTGTTGTACAAGATATAAGTAAAGACATATTCATTATTTTTTTCATTTTGAAACTGAAAGAGTTAAATGGGTAGACAGAATACAAAAGATGGAAAATAGTTGATAAAATTCTTTTGTACTTCTTACTTTTGTTCTAAGAAGTTTTGTAAATGAAAACACTCACCAGGAGCATAAATGATTTAAGTTTTCTTATCAAAATGATTTAGTACGCTGATAATTAATTGTTATTTATCACTTGCCTATTACTAGAAATTGGAAAACCATTAGTTTAGAGTTTCATTATTCTAAAGAATCTATTTAATATCCGGTATTGTTAATCTTTTTTTTTTTTTTTATTAAACAAAAGACACCACAAATACGTTGGAAAAACATTAAATTTTAACATTTAATTGTTGCATCAAGATTATTTTGATTAACATGTTTAGGCCTTGCTTTTGGTATTTGGAACTAATTATAGTTTTTATGAATTTATTCCAATTACGAATTTGGATTGAAGGTGGATTTTTTTAAGAACATGTTTTGTTTTTCTGAGCTTATTCTGGTGCGTGGGAAGGAAGATTTCAAAATGTGCCACTTTATTTTTCTTTTTTCTTTTCACATTTGTTTTATTTTCTTGGCGGGACGAGTTTGTTTTATTTTTTTAAATAATTTTTTTGTTTTGCTTGTGTGTGTTAAGTTGTGTTTATACTGTGATAATCCCCCTTGTTTAAGCATGTTGATGAGACTGGGTGGGATGCACAGGTGTTGCCCGATGTAAAACCAATGACGGGCGAAGAAGGACAAGAAGGCGGGAACCAAGCTTTTCCAGTGGCACTTGTTACACACCTGCCACCAGATTTAATCCTAAGGACAGAAGAGACTATCACAGGGGACAAAGAAGAGAATTCTGATAAAGACAAGAATAATGAAAAAAGAGAAAATGGTTTGTTTTTTAAATTTTGTTCAGCATTGTGGGCTTTTTTTGTTACTGAAAAACGTATTTGATTGATTTTTGCTTGGGACAGAAACTGGAGAGGCAACTACATTTACAACTACAGGGACAAGTGTGGCAAGCCAGTGGCAGTCGCTTGCTGTACCCACAACAGCTATGGCCGATTACCTATCCAGACTCCCTTCCACAGGCCTTCCATTATCATTGCATCATTTCCTAAAGTTCTCCGCTGAGACAATAAAGCGAGAATCGGCTATTGAATCATCACCTCTTAATCCAGATGGTGAACAGGGTACTGAAGAAGGAGTTGATGAACCTCAAGTTCCCATTGCCGAACTCACTGATGTAAGTTATGTAAAAAATCAGAGTCATCATTGTTTAACTCTCTCCAAAATTGGATCTTTAGGATTCAAAAGGCGGCAAGAAGAAAAAGAAATACAAGAAAAAACCACCAAAGCCTAGGAGACCTAGACCTGGGCAAGTTCACATAGCTGTAGCATTAGATGGAACCACTCTCTTCTGTTGCCCCGAATGTAACATGGCCTACCCAGATAAGGAAATTTTAGAACAACATCTTGTTGCCCATAAAATTGAACGGAGGTAGGTGTTTTAAATTGTTTTTCTATTGGTTTTTATTCTTGGCAATATTTGGACACATTTTTGTTTGTTTCCTTTTAGATTCATTTGTGATATCTGCGGAGCCGGTCTGAAGAGAAAAGAACATTTAGAGAGGCACAAGCTAGGCCATAACCCAGAACGACCTTACATCTGTTCTGTCTGTTGTAAAGGTAAGTTTTAAAATGCCTTTGTGTGATATTTACATTTTTTTAAATTTTATTTATTATTATTATTTAATTTTTTTTTTTTCAATAAAAAGATTGATGTTTTTATTTTTCCCTCCAGGTTTCAAAAGAAAAGAACATCTAAATTTACACTTTGTTATACATTCTGGTGAAAAGAGCGAAGTTTGTCCTGAATGTGGAAAAGGATTCCATAGAAAAGATCATTTACGAAAACACGCTAGATCACACTTGGCAAAACGAGTCAAGGAAGAGCCAGTGACACACACTCTCGTAGAGGAGGGTGTCATCTCTGATAGTGGGACTCTACAAGCGTCGGCGGCGACTGAAAACAACGAGACCCAGTCTATCATTCTCCACCAGCAAGCTACCCAGAGCCAACATTGAGTAGAGAATTTTATATTTTCCCATATATTAATTTTCATATTTTTAACAATAGGACACTTCCAGGAGATAAACCCCAACATTGGTACTACATTCCAATGTAAATCACATGGACTTATAAAAATTTTTTTAAATTGTTTGTCAACAGTCGGCTGGATGTATATACTTAATTATTGTCTTTGGTTTGTCAGGATGTATTTTTTACATTGTACATATATATTATTCAAACTAATGTTCCATAATATGATGGTTTTAAAGAAAAATAAGAGAGACGTAATTGTGAAGTCTAAAATATACAAACAACTTAGCAGTCTACAGCATCAAAAGGAGATCCTTTCCCTTCTGTCTGTAATATATAAAAAGAAACAAAATACATGAAATGAATTTAGGGAGAAAATGTTGCATTTGAGCCTCTTAGGAAAAAAAAAATAAGGCATCGGATACAGTCCACTGTTATTAACTTGTTTTGAAATATTGATGTAGAAGTTATCCATCCACTTCCCTGAGAAATGTATTGCCAAGGTTAATAATACAGCTTCGTTTTGCTCCCTGACAGTCACCAATGAAAACCAAACAATAATTACCTTTTTAATCAATACTGAGAAATTAATGACAGAGAAAGTACAAAAAATAAAGTTGCTTTATAACTGGGTGGGCATGTTTTGATTGTGGCAGCTGTAAGTAGATTGAAGATATCATACTTCTTAAGACAAGTTTCGATGACTTTGTAAAAGTTTTTTTTTCTTCTAATGATCAGAAGGGGTATAAAAACATTGCCTATGGTTAAATTATGACAAAAAAATTTTAACCCTCCTGTTGTACATACAATTATATATAAAAAATTGCTGAATATTTATACAAAATATTTAACAATAAAAGAGGAAAAGTAGTCACTTTCAATAAAGTGCTTTTCTTTATAAACAGTCTTGGACTGCAATTTTGTTTTTTGTTTTAATTAATTTTCTTTTTGAAGCCGCAGCAAGTGTTTCACGACAGAATTAATCGAACTATGGCGGTTAAATTGATTCTATCTAAAAATTGTTAAATTGCGGCAATAGTTATAATATATCTTGGTAACATTGAATTGAAATATATAAAAGTTTTATACTATGCAATTTGTGATTTTGCATACATATATTGTATATGATTAAATTGAACAAATTATTGTTTTCTTAAATTTGTTTAGTTGGGGGATGAAGTGGATTAATTTTTATAATACTTTATTGATTTTGGAACAAGAAGGCATAGATTTTAATTATTTCACCATTCAAAAATAAAATACAAATCCTTAAAGAGGATAATTTTTTAGTAGCAGTAATCGTTGTTGGTTAATTGTTTAGAAATATATAATGTACAAATTTATCATTTTCCATTTAAACTCTTACAGATATTGTTAGGGGTTTTGACCTTCTATTATTTTGATACGGAATGTCTTCAAATGAAAAAATATCTATACCTGTAAATTACAAAAGACACTTTAATTGAAAATAAAATTCTTGTTCCAATAGCATTTAAATATTTAACATTTGTAAAATTCATTCTTTATTAATAAAGTTACGATGGAAATCAATTGTTTATTACTTTTTCGGTTATGTTCACCTCTTGTACTCGTCTTCCTAGCTGAAATATAAATGAAAAAAAAAAGAGTAGTGTTTATTCAATATTTAGTTTTGTAAATGAAATGTTTGAAAGTAATACTTGTATTCAGCGGGATGCACACAATGAGAAATTATTCATTTTCATTAAGTCTTTCCCAACTTTAATACTAGGAAAAGAAAGCAACCTGCTAATGAAATTTGAAAGTAAAATTTAAAAAATAAATAATGTTATAAATGAAGTTATATTTTTATAATAAATAAAAATTATTGTATAAAAAAAACAGAACTTTGTTTTTAAGAAAACAGTGTTTTATGCGTTTTATATAGGTGTAGAGGTAATCTGCATAAACAAAAAAAGAGGGAAAATGTAAATATTTTTAAACTCATCTACTTGTACAGAATAGCATTTCTTATTAGTTCTTGATGTAAAATGAGTGAACCTCCAAATCAAGACAAAACAGTGTGTATGAAAAACTATTAAAAAAAGTAAAAAAAAAAAAAAAGCAAAAATATATATATTTAAATGTGTATAGAGAGATTATAAATATAGAAGAAATTATGTTGTTCCGGTTTATATAGCTCTAGTATTTCTATTTATTATTGTTATAAAGTTTTTGTGTAAATATATTAGTTATAGTTTATTCATTTCTGGGTTAATTAGTTTAATTAATACAAAATAAAAGTTATGCTTTGCACTTTTCTATTTTATTTTTTATTTACTTTTTTTCATATAATAATACAATATGATTTACGTTCTGTTTTTTCTTTTTTGTATTACTTTTTTAAGGTCTGATAATAACTATTGCTGCAAATGTTCTTTCTCTTTCAATGTGTGCACAAAAGAGATTCGTTATTTTATGAAAGATGGTGTGTGAATGTACTAATTTTCTTGGATAACGGTTTTTAGCTTTGCTGTCGGCTGATAAGGAAGAGAATTTTATGTTTGTTAAAAAATAAAAATAAAACAACACAAATTGCACTGTAAACACCAGTTGAATGTTTAGATGTTAAGTTTTTATTTTCTGTTATTATTAATGAGATAAAAAAATAATTAAAACAAAAAATACTGCTTTTAGGACAAATTATATGTACAGTTTACGTACGCAGATTGTTTTTTTTTTCAAAAATAAAAAAAAGCTATACAAAAAAACTTTCATACATTTCTTGAAGTATATAAATATAAATATATTATTTTTATAGTTTTGTAAAATATATAAGAACTGATTTAGCAGAAAAAAATATTTACAATGTTTCAAAACGGACATCAGGCTTTTTTTCTGCTTTATGTGCTAATCTTTAGCCTGTTATGTTAACTTGCTATAATAGCGATTAGTTTATTACAATCTCAATTATATTGTGTATAATCAATGGGTAAGGTAATAAATAATTTTTATTTAATTAGGTTGTTAAGAAATCAGCAATTTAAGAGATTAATATTATTTTGTAAAAAAAAAATTATTTTATCCAATGACACATGTATGGAAGGATTTTTTAATTGATTATAAATTAATAAATAACTTAAAGAGTTAATTTGTTGTTTTATAATTAAGATTCTGATGTAATTAATTAAAGAATCTTAGCTTGCCAATTCAATATCCTCACCCACTCCTATTTTATGACCTATGAAACAAACCCACCACAGAATATTACTGAATATTACTTAAGGTTTTTAGTTGAGATAAAAAAGTCAGTGTCATGAGCTGGATTCGAACCCACGACCTTCGGTTAAATACGCCGCTACTCTTGAGCTATCATGACTTGGATCCAATTGGACACTAACTTCCCATCTCAACCCAAGAAGTTAGTGTGTCAAATTAGTGACCATAAATTTGTGAGCAAATGATTGTTATTAGAATATAAATTTTTTGTTTAAATTTATAACATTGGCTGGAGTAACTTTGTACCCCATATGATTGCTCGAGTTGTAATAGGCGGCGCAACTGGTCAAAGGTTAAAAAATGTATATAGTTTATTATAAAGTACATTTTTTTAAATACAATTTATTTATTATTAGATGGACTTATTTTGAATACATATTGACTTAAAAAAATATTACTAATACTATATAATATTATTATTTATTATTACTCTGCTTGCCTATTGTTTGAAACTGGTTTTATACGTAAATTGTAATCACAACGTATACTATTATATTCAAGAAAGAAGAAAATATGTTTTTTACTAAATTCATTGACAAAGTAAAGTGGTTAAAATGAAATTAATATCTTTACTGTTGACTTGTTTAATCAATACCATCCTTATTAATGTTCTGTCAAAAGATGAGTAGATGATAAATTGAATTCAGTCAGAAGTGTGTGCCTTTGTCCCTTGTGTGATAATACTCTTTTATAATAATCAATCTTCAATGCAAAAACATTTTTTTAACATGATTTTCTCTTTTAGATTTAGTGCTGTTGTTCATAATGAATTTTGCCTCTGTGTATTGCATTTTAATGGCCTGTGTACAAATTAGGCCGGACTGGAAGCCAGAATAGATCTACTCAACACCAATTGGAAATGAGACTTTTGTTATTTGTCCACCGTGAATAGTTCAGTTCCAATATGTGCTTTTCATGCTGAATAAATAACATGGAAGTGATCGTTTGAAATCAAATCAAATCTTTTAATTAAACAGGCATCTTTAGTAGTATTACCAGGCTACTACAACGGACCAAAGTTGGGATTTCCTTTAGTATTCAACCGATTCTTTCAAGTAAATAAATCTTCATGACTTGTTCAAGAAAGGTTGAAGCTTGGGATCAACTGCTTGTATATATTGGAACCTGGAGAAATGAAGATGTCTTGTAAAGTTTAGACCCAATAACTATAAATTTTCATGTGAGATGAAAACTAAAATGATATTTAATTTTGAAAATTATAAGTAAATATTAATAAATTAGAATTTAATTAAAAGGAGAATGCAAACATTTTAATTAGTTCAATTAATTATTCTTTTTATCAAAGGTCTTGGTTAAGATGAAAAAGCTGTGTCATGAGCAGGATTTGAAGATTATCAGTTGAGATTAGAATTTGGTGTCTGAGTGGATCGAAGTCATGAGAGCTCAAGTGGCTGGAGCAGTGGCATATTGAGCCAAAGGTCGTGGGTTCGAATCCCGCTTGTAACACTAGCTTTTCCATCTCAATCAAGACTACATAAACAAAATAATTAATTGAAATAATTAATATGGTCAATTTTGATGGTTAAGCATATATGGATTTTAATTAGTGATTAATTTATTACTGCAATAGTAACAATTAATTTTAATTGTTGAAGAACAACTATTGCCAATCAACTTTTCCTTGGGACAGTCTTAGAAACATTATATTACAGTATAATAATTATAAAATAATTCCTATTGTATAGCTATTATTTTATTGAATAAAGTCTGTGGATTATATAAGTGTAATTATTTTGTTATAATTTACATGTTTACACACATGTATACATGTTTTAAAAATAGGGAGAGAGTGAGGAAAGGAAAAATGGAGTGTGTGAGTGGGATAAAATGTGTTTGTTTATTTTACGTGTGTGTTTGAGTGAGAGTGTGAGTGTGAATGAAAGACATGGGAGGGGGGAAAGAGAGAGAGTTGGATAGATATAGGGATAGAGCATGGAAAAAAGAAATTGAGTGTGTGAGTGAGTGGGATAAGTGTGTTTCTTTATTTTATGTGTGTATTCAAGTGAGTGTGAACGAAAGAGAGAGAGAGAGAGAGAGAGAGAGAGAGAGAGAGAGAGAGAGAGAGAGAGAGAGAGAGTGAATTAGTGAGTGGGATAAAATGTGATATTTTGCATTGATTGCGAGGGTGAATGAAAGAGAAAGCGTGGGACGTTGGATGGAGATAGGGAGAGAGAAAGTGAGTGGGAGAGAAATGGAGAGTGTGACTGAGTGGGATAAAATGTTTTTTCTTTTGTGTGTGGGTATGTGTGTTTTGAATGTGAGAGTGTGACAACGAGAAAATTGGATGGAGATAGGGAGAGAGAGAGAGAGAGCCATCATATTCCTTTATAATAATATATGTAATGTAATGTTATTTAATTTATTTTATTAAAACTTTGTAATTAATAAAGTTAATTTTTGCTAAAAAAAAATTAATTTTGCTATTAATATGTTGAAGTAAATTATTTTGTAACACTGAAAAAGTTACGAATTTTGTCACGTTTGGACAAATTTTATTTTTAACAGTACGTTCGTGAATGCCTTTGCAGAGCGGCATTCAAATCTCGCGCATATTCTTAATTACGTAATTAATTATAATATTTAATAAATATAATTTATAGTTATAGTCCTTCAAATTTCCCGCTTCGAGGGGGTTTCAACCCCCGATGTCGAATTCGTGAAGGGTGGGTATTCGCCGCGCGTGAGCAGAAATCCCAATAAAAATGTTCACGAGCAGGTGTTCATAGCTTAGCTATTGGAATTCTTATAATAAAACCGATATCAAAGGGGATTTCCTCACAATGGTAAGTGGTTTATGTAATATTTAAAAATGTTAACATTCGCCGTGTGAATCAGTATGTTATTATGTGGAAGCGCGTTTGGTCGAGGGACGGAATTGTACAGGGGATGAGGGACTAAGCATCTCACCCTTTCTCACCCCCGTCCTCCCCCTCAAACCCCAATCCACATCGTCAATGACGCCATCAAAAACCTCCCTCGAATATCTTTCTTACCCCTTTTCCTTTTTGATTTTAGCCCGTTTTCCCAAGTTGCCAGGGTTTTTTTTATATATATATTTGAATTATATCGTCTAGTTAACTTCCATTTTGAAAAGTCAGATTCATAGTCTGTCATCATCATAACCCCGTACCAACCTCGAAGAACCAATTAGCATTATAAAATGTCCAATATTTTCCCCTCCGGTATTTCATCTTTCCAAGATTCCGTTTTATAGGTTTTATAACATTCAGACCTAATTTTATCGCCATCCTCACTTTTGAACGTGCAGAAATAACACGCGGCTAATTATTTTTCGCTTTCGGGGTAATGGATGGATGTAAATCAATACTTTTTTTTTAATCTGCCCCCAATTATCATAAGAAAAATATAAGCCGGGGGGAGAAAAATTCGTTCGACGACCCGAGCGGTAGTTATTTATTGATCTGCTCTCGTCTTGGGTTTATTAATCAGTCTGCAAATATTTATTACTTTGGATTTCCAGCGTCTCCTGGTATTCTGAGAAAAGGGCTCGACTTTTATTGAAATTTGCCAATCCGATCTTCACTCCCTTCCACCATATCGTCACTTTCTTCACCTCGGCCAAATCTTAATTTCTTCACCATTTACAAATTTACATCTTGAACTTGTTAATTAGCCATTTGGCAAAATATCCTATGCAAATTTTTATCTCACAACATTAAATATTGTTAAAAATGTACATACACATGATTGTATAAATATATATTACCAAATTACTAAAATAAATTAAATATTACAAAATTCATCACTTTAAAAGTCAAACAATAAATTATTTCTTTCAGCGCAGAAATTATTACTATTAGAACATAGCATATCTGTATGAAATAGATTTTATTTACTATACAATGATCAGAACAATTTATTAGGATAAAACTGGTCAATTAGTTGCTACTCAAAATAAACCTGTGTCTGGGTACCCAGGCAACATAAAGCTGTCAAAAAGGACTCATTTTTCAAATAAATTAAATTATATTACTTATATAACTAATTCATGGAAGATAAATAAAGAAAAGATGTTATATGAATTATATAAATTATTCCTTTCATAACACTATCACACAAAACCAATATGCCACCACAATAATAACACACTTTATGCACTGAAGGTGACCCGAATAAAGGTTGAAAAATCGGCCAAATAAATAAATAAAAAGGTGTTTTTCTAAACTACCTCTTTCTTGACCGCTCTTCATGACTTCACCAAATTATTATTCCTATTACTTTATATTTAAAGACTGAATTTTGAAAGCTTTTTTTCCATGGGGTCACTGGAGACCAAAGCCTCCCTTTCTTCCTTCATTCTAAAAGATCTATTGTGCAATTGATTCTTCTTTATTCACAAGCCTCAAAAAGTGCTCCCATTAATGATCTGTTCAAATGTCTACTTCTTCATGACAGAGACGACAGGTTTCTGTGTCAGTTTTTCCCGTTTTTTTTAAGGTAGTAATTAAATTTGCAGTGGCCAGTACAAAGGCTTATTATTTTCCTTAATTTTTGCCTACTGGGTAGCAGATTTTTGTTTTCCTGGTTGAGATATTAAGAAACTACTTTGAATGTTTTGCATTTGATGAATTTATCCAGTGTGTGGTCATTTATTTTTCATCCAATTGTTCAGTTTCACTTTTAGCATGCTTTGTGGCATGTCAGTTTGTGGTCTGTCGGGTTTGAGGGCTACTCCTGTTTTTGCTAGTTTGTCAGTCTGCTCTTGCAGTCTCTCCGTGTCCTGATGGTACCCACATCAGAATTAACTGATTAAATTTTTCCAGGAGCTGGGATGTGTTAGGCATTCCCAGACCAGCTATGAAGGTGGAGGAGTTTAAAGCCTTCAATTCTGGATGGCTTATTTTAATCCTTTTTTAAGTAATTCTTGTGCACAGTGTTCTGGACGTCAGCTTAAAAAATTAATAGCATGAGACTTAAAAGTTTTGGAAAATTTGGGCCTTTAACTCCTGCTCTCTCGATGTTCCATTTTAGATCCGTCTCCATACCATAAGACCTCTTTATGAGTTTCAGGATTTTCATTCTTCTAAACATCTTTTGTTGTTATTTTTATTTGGAAGTGTCGGTCAAAAGTGAATTTTAATTTAATTTTATCAGACTGTCTAATTTATTTTTAGGATTTTTTGATGGTTTTCTCTTAAGCCAGATTTTATTAAGTGAACATTGCTTTAAATGTGCTATATAATATGAAATTGGTTTCAATTTGTTGGAGTAACCAGCCATATGGTGAAGTGATAAATATTGTTTTAAACATAATTTATTGTATTGTATTTTTTCAAAACTGTTCATTTTGATTCACTTTTACATAATATTTCACCTAAATATTAATTTTATATTCTTTTTTATTCGCGGTTGGTGTTCAAATTGTTGAACTCTGTACACTTGCCAAGATCAGTCTTGCAATTTATTTACTACATTTGCCTATGCAAACAGTTGAGATGATTCAACAATCTTTTATTTTACAGGGGATATTTTAATCATAATTATGAAAGTAGCTGGTTCCTTTAACTAAAAGTTTTATTTTTTCAGGACTTGGAATAAGAAGAGTATTAATAAACGCCTCCCAATGATGAATTTTTCTCCCTTTGGAAACCACTTTGCAACAGCAATTCCATCGATTCATCAGTTCGCTGCCAAATTTACACACGATGGTACAACAACTACCACAACGACAGGGGTTGGTACACAAACAATCAGCCCAATACCAGAGGAGCCGATGGTAAGCTCTTCAAATCGTTACAACAATCACTTTCAGAATCAGCAATCGATGCCAGTGAAGTACCAGAGGGACAGTAGCACCCAGATTTCAGGCAATATATTGCCATCGACTCCCAACCAGTCAAAATATCAATCGGAGCCTCAACATTTTCCAAATTTACAATTAAACTATAATGGCCACTTGAGACAAGAGGAACCACCAAAAAGAACAGGCAATTACGAAGAGAACAACATGCAACAAGAAATTTGCAATTTAGTTAAAAGAGAGGAGAAAAATGAAAATGGCGATTATACAGCAAATGTGCAGCCTCAGCCTGGTATGCCCCCTTCCTGGCAAAGTATTGCAACACCTGGGTCCACTGTTGCAGATTATCTATCTCATTTGCCAGCTTCAACTCTACCAATTTCTTTACACCATTTTTTAAAATATTCAGCAGAAACTATGAAGAAAGATATTGAGCCAGAACACCCTCATCCTCCACCGACAGCCCCTCAGCCTGATTTGAAAAAGAAGAAAAAGAAAAAGGCTCCGAAAGAAAAAAAACCCAGACCGAAACCGGGTGAAATAAGATTAACAACAGCTCTAGACGGTTCAACCCTTTACTGCTGTCCTGAGTGCCACATGGCTTATCCAGATAAGTCACTTTTAGAACAGCACCTTCTCGGCCACACAATGGAGCGCAGATTTTTCTGTGAAATATGTGGTGCCGGGCTCAAACGAAAAGACCACTTAACCAGGCATAAACAAAGCCACAATCCCGATCGGCCATTCGTCTGCACTGTCTGCATGAAAGCGTTCAAACGCAAAGAGCAGTTAACGTTACATTTTGTGATTCACTCGGGTGAAAAAAGGCACGTATGTACGGAATGTGGTAAAGGATTTTATAGGAAGGATCACCTGAGGAAGCACACAAGGAGCCACATAGCAAGGAGGGTCAAAGCTGAAATTAGCCAACATGTTCCGACCAATCACTCCTCTTCTGAAAGAGACCCGGTTTCCTGAGGTACAGCCAATGGGAATTCGATTCCCAGCAACAGCAACTTCACCCCTGATCTCATGGCTTTTGTCTCAGCTGCCAGAGATTGCTTTTAGTCAGTGAATCATATTCTTCAACAAATATTTAATAAAAACTTTAATACTATACTGCCATAATTAATTTTTGGGGGTGTCAGGTATAATGTTTTATTTATTAATTTTTATTGTTATTTTTGTTTGTGAGACCTGTTAACATTATAAAAAGGTAAATTAAAAATTATACATTTCGTTGCAAAATGCTATAAGAATATTTTTAATATTTTTTTGTAGTTAAATAAACTGAAAGACTATATTGCTTTATATTTTTTTAATCTTTAGTTATTTTTGACACCCAGAACTCAATAGTATTAATTGTAAACTATACTTTACCTAGTTAGGCAGAAAAATAAAGTTCATTAATATAATATTATAAGCTGACAATCAAAATAATCATTTTGGTTAATTTGGCATATGAATTATTGCTCTTGCTTAATATTAATACTAATGTTAGTCAATTGTTTCATCAACTGAAAAAAGAAATTATAAAATTAACTTATTCAAAATATACATATACATATATTTCTAGTCAGTTTATAAGTGGGGGGATTTTGAAATCTGAAGAAACTAAATTGAGAAAACTTTTGACCGATTTTTCTTCTCTTTAATAAAGAATGAAATACCACTTACTGTTGTATATGATCTTTTTTTCCTGTATTGGTGCTATTTTAATAATATTTTCGTACAGTTTGCTCTATAAATTCTCAATGAGTTTAATCAATAAAGACAACCGATCTTCCATTAATAGAATAATACTTTTCCTTAGAATTGATCCATTTCTTTTAGATTGTTATGTGATAGGGAAAATGCCCATTTATAACTCATGAAAGTTTAAGAGCAACTTTTTATTTTTAATTTTTTTTTTTTTAAAGAGATAAGACATAATAGTATTTGTCTAAATTATAGTGTGAAATTGTAACTTTATAGCAAACATTAATTTTAAGCTTAACAAATAATTAAGCCACTTATAACAAGTATAGCTTAAAACGCCTTGTCATAAAATTGGCAAACAATAGGTTTTTGTTACCAGTAATGTACCAAAAGTATGGTAATAATGATATGTAAAAAATGAGAAAAAAATTAAAAATACTTGTTAGTAGTTACCTCTAAAACAAGGGAATATTGTAAATATTTAAAAGATGCAAATGATTAATTAGATTTAGACATTATTTTTGAGTGAAATAAATATTGGTTTTAATCATAGATTGATGGTAGTAAAGGTACATGGAATGGAGTTGCAATAAATGCATAAAAGAAAGAATATTGCTTTGTGTTTAATATGAGGACCATCTTTCTACATAATGGTTTGCATTATTAAAAAAATTAATTAATTAATTAAATTAAATAAAAATATTTTGTTATAGCATTGTTGATTTGTTTTGATTTTGACCTGGTGTAAATTGTTTATTTATTTATATAACTTAAAGTACAAACATGCCAAAGCCCAAACTTCAGATA